ATACTTTTACCCTGTGTAAACAGTGGGGGTGGTAATTTTGTATTTATATGTCAAAGAATACAAAATATAATGTACTTTACATTTATAAAGAAGTGGTAATCGATTCGAAATATGTTATGCAAATAAATCGTGATCGTTTATAAAGAACAGAAAATCAAAAATATTGCCCGAGGCTGTTTTCAATATAGTTTTAAATACACAGTGTTGTGTACAGGGTATTTCATATTATCTGGCCTTATTCTTTACGTCTATGTTTTTGTCAGTTTTTACAATGCAAGAATGAGGTATAAACCAAAATGACACTTTCAATACAAAATTTACCTCTACTTAAAAAGAAAGGAAAATGGCATCATCAATAACATCAGTTGTCGGTCATTTTTCATGATAGCTACATCAAAATCAACAATTTTGTAAACCTGTGAAAATGGACTATGAATGCAAATTACTCAAAAACTGTCTTTTTCACTTACCAAGAAGAGATTTGCAGATATGAAGCAGTCAAACACGAAAAGATGCAGGCAAATTGCGAAGAGATTCGAACTGTTTGTATCAGTTGAAGACAGGCCACCCAAGGTGTGCATGAACTCAAGAGGCCATTTATCAGTTGTGGACAATGATTTATGAAACCATACAAAAAGTCAGTGAGGAAGAATTTGGGGGATATGGTAAACTCACAAGGGCTACAAGTACATACTGAATGTTTCGATGCGACGCTAGACAAACTCAATAAACAGTTCCTGTCATTCAGCACATTAAGTCTACTGTTATTGTGAGTAGAATTACGTTTGAATTATCAGTAAGCAACAGCATGGACATCGTGCTTAAATTATTGCTTCCTAATGAGACTTGCTGTTACCGTAACGAAAAGGTAAATCAACAGGAGTAGATATTTGGGACTGAGAATCAAGGAGTAAAGAGCACGTCTAATCAAGCATCAGCATTGATATGTTTATAAAACATCGAATTGAACGATTGACGTGGAAAAGCTGTATTATTTTTACATAAAATAAAATATTTGTATTATAGCTTCAGCTGGATAGTTTTCATTTTTCTTCATAATCGTGTTTTGAAAAAAAAAACTTTTGATACAAAAATAGATATCATGAAACAGCCTGTGTAAACACAAATTTAACATGCTATTTGTTGATGACCGGCCAATGTAACGATGTATAGGCGTTACAATCAAATATAATGTTCTGAATTACGTTTTATTGAACTGCTTACGAAAAAATAAGAAAAATATGTCTAGTGATGTTTTTAATGTAAAATGTATAATATGCTGAAAGGAAAAATTAACGCAATTAGGAATTTCCAGGTCAACTACGGGAAATAGAAAAGGGTTTAAGAATGTAATTATGGTGTTACTGGAAGATAGTCGACCACTCTGTCATCTACGAGGATTTCATTCGTGTACGTTAAGTAAACCTTTCAAATTTGACGTTGATTCAAGAGTCACCCCACACAAAATGAAGTGTGTGTGCCCCCGCGAGCTGCAGTAGCTACACGAACTCTTTTGTGCATTGAATTGATCGGGGTATTAACCCTCCACATTGGTATACGATTCCATTCCTCATCAAGTGCCAACGTCAACTGAACGACTTTGATTGGAGGATTCGGCATACGTCTTATCCTTCTGTCCAACTCGTCCCATGAATGTTCTATTGGGGAGAGGTCAGGGCTGTATGGGGGCCAGTCTAGGATGGGGACATTGTTTGCTGCGAGATAGACACGGCGAACCCTCGCTACATGCGGCCGGGCGTTGTCCTGCTGAAACGTCAGTTGACGCTGCTGTACTAGAGGAAAGGAACAACATGCGGCGCTAGGACTTGATCCCTTTAGAGGACGACAGTGAGATTTCCCTGAATAACGACCAGATGAGTCTTGATACCATGCGCAATCCCTCCCCATTCCATGACCGATCCTCCTTCCAAAGCGGTCATACTCTATCATGCAAGCATCTGCATAGCGCTCGTGGGCACGCCTATAGACACGACGTCGGCCGTCTGCAGTAAAGCGAAAACCTGGAATCATCTGAGAACAGGACCCTTATCCAACGTTGCATTGGGAAGCGTCTTACGGAATGTGCATTTAGCCATTGCATTCGTCTGGCACGTCGCCTCCCATTAAGCTGTGGTCCAACATATGGCCTCCGCGGTCTTATACCGAAGGCATGCAGTCGAGTACGCACTGTCTTTGGATCAATTGGAACATAATGACTCCCAATTATGTTCCTTGCTGTTTCCGTGGCCGTTAGAAAGCGATTGCGTAGGTGCAAAAGTCGCATTGCCCTATCCTGCCGACGCGTCGTCTCACGAGGGCGACTGCTTCGGGGACGGTCTGCAACCCTTCCGGTGGCATGTTATACTGGGTTCGAGATATCGTGCTTTTGTCTCTTATTCATTTGTACAAGCGGCGTGCGCAGTTTAGTTAAACATCAGTGATTTTAATACGGTACCATAGGGACCTAACTCAAATGCACACATTTGTAAAGTTTCAAGGGCGTACGTCAAAGATTTAATATACAATATTAACTTTCTGCTAATTGCGTTTCTTTTTCCTCTCAGTATATATCACTTTCCTATCGACACCGAATAATCGTTGTGTCACCACCCAAATGAACGCAACCTTATATTGATTAGTGTTTTAAGGTATTGGATGGGGACTGAGAAAGGGTGTTGTCGGAGGAATCAGTTGTAGATAGATTGTGTTTACTTTATAACCCAAAAATTATTTCATGCTATTAATATAGACCTGAAAAATCATTTGCTACTGAATGACATTATAGAAAATGTAATTCAAAGACCGGACATCCAAGAACCATTTTCTCTCCTATACATCCCCACGGTTTTCAGACAACCTTCCTTACTAAACCTCATTATCTCCACGAATAAGTATCACCTTTTAGGGTATTGTGTTGAACGGAGACACATAATATTTCAAAACTGTTGTTACATTCATTACTTGCAGATAGATTGAAAAGCGTTCAAATATAGCACTTCTATGACAATAACTTTGGTCGAAATCTGCTTTCAACTCTGAAACTAATATTTCAAACAATATTCAACACCATAACACACCCACTGTATCCAATTGCATTTTAATGACAATTTGCACCATTGTAACATAATCATTTCATCTGCTCAATAGCTTTACATTATTTTTGTTATAATTTTAGACATTTGTCATTTATACGTGTAAATTCAACAAAGATACACACAGTACTAGCACGCATGAATTACAAGCTACGTAAACTATTTATCACACTTTAAAATTTACTAGACATGTGGTAATAACATTGAAAATAATTTTCTGGACAATCCAGTCAAGTCAAAGATACAATAACATTTGATACACCGGTCAAGGATACCAGAACATTTGATACACCGGTCAAGGATACCAGAACATTTGATGTACCAGTCAAGGATACCAGAACATTTGATACACCGGTCAAGGATACCAGAACATTTGATACACCGGTCAAGGATACCAGAACATTTGATGTACCAGTCAAGGATACCAGAACATTTGATACACCGGTCAAGGATACCAGAACATTTGATACACCGGTCAAGGATACCAGAACATTTGATGTACCAGTCAAGGATACCAGAACATTTGATGTACCAGTCAAGGATACCAGAACATATGATGTACCGTCAAGGATACCAGAACATTACATGCACCAGTCAAGAATACCAGAACATTTCATGCATCAATCAAAAATTTCAAAACATTTGATACACCAGTCAAGGATACCAGAACATTTGATACACCAGTCAAGGATACCAGAACATTTGATACACCAGTCAAGAATGTCAGAGTATTTGAAACACAAGTTAAGGATACCAATTTTAGAATAACTGTATAACTGAATAACAAACAAACAATATACGATTAATATCTACAATGGAACATTTTCGGACATGTATAAGATAATGTTTTGACCATCATATTTGGTTTTGAATGTTGTGTTTACATTGCTGCTTTATAAAGACGGCCAAACTATGTGAAAAATATGATGCCACTATTTCAAGGCAATCAGAGCGATAACCTTGTAACAATAGCAGCGATAAAAATATACCATATATTTAATTCAGTGCTGCGATTTTGGAAAGAATACCATAATATTTTTGTTTTTTGTTTCTTTCATTTGTTCTTTTTTCTCTTTTTTCTTTTTATCTATTTTTTGACACAAACTCGAGTTTTCATTCAGCATGAAAGCATTACGTGAAATAACCCTCTTTTTACGTAGATATTCACTATTAACGTCAAACAGTTTCAAATCATACCAACATATCATTTAAAATTTGATTGTGAACAGACACAAAATATCAACTGTGTGGAGTACATGCCTAGAAACAATATATTCTACCATTGTGTTGTGTTTATATTGATAGATAATCTGTAGGATGCCAGCATGATTGTGTGTTTAGACAATGAATTAAACATAAAAAGATTGTTGGTTTGGAGTATCTCAAGATTAAACGAAATCCAAAAGAAATTCTATAACCAACTTGATACACAGAAAATCAAGAACCACGCAAATTTATCAATGAACATATACAATCTTGGCCGCTAGTCAAATGCATATGAAAATCAAATTTAAACAAAAACGTTTTGCCTTATTTAAGTTTGCAGTTCTCATTTACAGTATTCCGCGTTGAATAATGGAATAACACAAGAGAAATTTTATATGGCTTAATTGATTTTGGAGTATTTTAAAGTGTTTTACTCACTACATTTCGCTGTGAAAGCTGACCAGTCTCTATGTAATTATGTGTGGCCGACCAACAGGCGTTATTACATCCACTGTGTATTGACACTATTTCATTGCTAAACCGTATTAAAGAAATCCGTCTCGCAATGTGTGAGGAAAGTACAGGTTTCAAAAACACTTAAAAGGTTCTAAATAAAGATTTCTAGAATCACGTTCGGCCACATTGGCGGTATATAAACTTCACTATTGTCCGAAACTGACTAGCAGTTGGCCGTCAGTGATCATGAAGGGTGTTTCCATTTCTCTGCTCCTATTGGGGCTGGTCTTGGGAAGTCTTGCCAAAACCGTGAGTATATCATACCAACGTACATTATTTTAAGGAAGACTTTTATTAATATGTTAAATGATATTAACAATCATTAATCCTGATTTCAAACTGCCCATGACAAGATGTGTATTGTTTCTTAATTACATTACTGCTTGATCAGCCGTTCTAGTATATTTATGTACAGATACAGAATGCTTACTGCTATGATGAGATTTCCTTCTATAAACCAAAGATTTACCGAATAAATTCCAGGTTACAAAATCCTTTCCTTAACCTTGATTCGGATCAGTTAGGCGCTATTGATCAATTTTAAGATTTATTACCAATGAATTGCAGTTGTTACACTGATTACATGAAATGTTAATGAGGCCGATACAACATAAACGAATTATAATGCTTGAAAGTAAAAAATCGATTAAGTTGACATGAAAAAGATATTTATCTAGCAAATGATCTCGTCTGGATACAAAGCCGTAAGGATTTTAACATTGACTTTTTTTCTTTATATATATCAAATATATATTTAAATAATATATATCCTTAAAGGGATATAACGCCCAAAAGAAAAATATTTTCTTGTAGTGTCAAAAACAGAATAACGGTTAATTACATAATAATAAATTAGGTGTGAAATATCAACACATTCAATGTTTGTGATGAAGTAATAACTGAAACAAGTTTAACTGATATATAACTAAAACATAACAAGAACACTCCCCTCCACGTGACATGCTTAGTTTGCAATTTGTTTTTGCAATTACCTGGCTCCAACATTATATATCTAAACTAAAATATAATGCATTTTATTATCATCATAAAACATCCCTATTAGAAATCGATTGCTATGGTTAAACTAACAGGTAAACTATTTTATAAAATGATCTAAAGGTTTCAATTTCTTATTCCAGAAATTTTCAAAATATAAATAATTTGAATCGTAGACTTTATAACCACATTCCAGCCTTAAAGATAATAGGTTCATTAGTGTTGATCATGTTCCTGCTGTGACTTGTGTTCCACATTAGTTATTTCTTCCATTTTTTCTTCATTTACCATTGATAGTTTCCTTTTTAGATTCTTTTTATTCACAATTTGTGCGTCTATAGATAATTGGTTGAATTTGATCAAAATTACGTTAATTAGAATCAAAGTGTAGTATTTCTTGTGTATTTCAATCAAATTGTCATTAAATATGTGATCCCCTTCACATAAGAAAAAAAGGTTACAGTGAAATTAAAAATAAATAATTATTCACTCAAACCCCGTAAGCTGTATGTTTTGATGAAGATTTAATCCTTGTACCTTTTAGCATTGAAGTTCTTTTAACGCCGATTAAATGTGTCCGTCATGTTGATATGACACAAGGAAAGCGGTTTACGGGGGTGGCGCTTCAACCTACTTAAGAACTTTAACTGTTGTACAGCTGTTCCATTAGTGAATGCTTACTCCATTCTCCAGTGTGGCAGATTTAATACGCATTGTCACGTCCATACACCTCACATCTACAACTGAAAACAGAAAAAAAATCCGCATTCGTTGCATTAATTCTCAAGATCTGTTACTTATTAAGGAGATACAAAAAAGCTTAGCTTTCAATGCCATGCTAAGTACAAAAATAACAGTTTTATTTAATAGTATACCATTTAAATTTCTTCCCACAAGATATTAAGCTTATCATCGGATGACCACAGAATTGTTCTAATTGTCATCTATCCATTGGGAAATACATTCATTAAAACAGAATTCTGTGCTATCCAAAAAGCTTTATCTCTCATGCATACTCTCCAGACTCAATTTGCTTTAATTTCATGTCTAATACAAAATAATCGTTTTATGCTCATACTAGAAAATTCTGAGTTTCCAAAACTCTAATTGACACCCTCTCCCATTCGTTTTATTCTTCCTCCCCTCAATGACATGCGGTTGAGAAACGTGCAGATTTTTGACATTTCGATAAGTTTTACTTTTCTCAGTAGCTCTACTAGAGTTGCTTTCTAGAAACGCCAGCCACCACCCCCACTTGAATCGCCCTCTACAAAAAGCTGTATGCTCATTATCATCCATTTGTGTTTTTCAGTTTGTATTGTAACATGATTTTCTCTTGTGTTTTGTAGTAATTGTCGGTGGTAGACTTGACTTCGCAGTCAGTAGGACATTAGTTCCCTAATTTTGAACATGTATATATCCGACATTTGAACATTAAAAAATTATTTGAATATGGTACTAATGAACCTCCCCTCTTCTTCGTTTTCAGATTTTGACATTTCTTTCGAACGATATAAATTTCTCAATCGCCTACTACAATTACACTGTAGGCTTCAACATTTTAGGCCCTTAGCTTTAGAGCCGAGTCTTAGAAGGATGAATCAGGTCCATGATTCCCGATTCGGCTCTTCTAAGTATGTCTTTTGTACATGCTGTCTAAAGAATTATTAATATAACAAGTTCAGGGTATCAGAGACAAAATATATTTCAGTTCAGGATATTTTTACACCTTGGGTTGGCAATTTTGTTTTAATAGAGAGCTTCATAATCATCAATAATCAAATACGATCATATACCATATTGATTAAAAGGTTATTTTTTTCTATTTCAGACACTTAAAGATGTCTTAGACATAGTAGCAGATAGAAAAAACATGGAAAAAGGTAAATTCTTATGTTTGTCACTTGTGGTATTTTCTTCATTCCACAGATGGGAATGTTTCAATCAACAAAAGGACAATAAATCGCTCGTGTTTGTTTGTTCGTATGGTATGGTAGGAATGAAGGATTGAAGATCAAAATACAAGTCATTATCTATGTATATGGCAGTTTAGGAGAGGACTGTTCAAATCGCTCTGCCGCTGTGATTCGAGGTCCGTACGTCCGCCAAGCATTAAACGGTTTTTGTTATCGCTATTTCTTATTTTTCTCTTTCACTTTGGTCCCTAGTTTTGCCCCCTTCAGTTTTGATGTAGATCAAAAACAAAAAGATGACTAGCAGGCGACCATCTTTGACTTCGAAGATAAAACTTTGTTATCGCAATTTCTTGAGAAGTACGGCACAGTTCATGTACAGGTCTCCATTGTTTCCTTAATGACAGCCTTTCGTCTGGTAAGAGAAATATTGGCCAATAATGGCAATTTCGGATCCCCACAATGAATGAAAACCTTATCACTATTTCTTGAAGTGTAGTGGGTTTATTCTTCTCATAGTTTATCTACCAGTTTCCCCTGTGATGTTGATTAAAAAAATGATTGACAAGCCGCCATTTTTTATTTTCACAATATATTGCTTATTCTTGTAAAGGACTTGAAGAATCTTTCCTCTCTGTAAATCTAGCAACATCGTTGGCTAATTGATAAACCAGTATTTCCTTTAACCATCGGAAATATTTTTATTGCTACCGAAGCCATTTATAAATTCCACGACACTGTCATTCATCCGCAGCCATTAACTATAGCCAAATGTCCTTACCGACCCTTTCATTTCTCGTAAACGGCGTAATTCCCCCAATTACCACCCTCAACACTCCAGGGATTACGATCTGTTTCGCTCCATGCACCCCTGTACTATTTCATTTTAAAATTGAAAGTTCCATGTGCCACACCTCGAGGAAAAGACGAAAAGACTAGTTTAATCTTTTGGTGTATGTACACCAAACGAATCTCGCGGTCATATAACGGTGTATTGTAATGACTTTTGGTGTCATTCCTTTGTTATCTTCAAAAGGAGCGTATCAGCCTGTGGTGGCCATTTTTTGTCTCCTGGAACCAATCAAATTACTTCGCTTGTACCTTCAATTTTGCCAGGACATGCTCCAAGTGTGCAGAAAGCGAAAGTTATTGCAACTCTGAAGTATAGAGGATACACACTTACATGAACCTCATTTCTATGTCAGTTTAAACCAAATCTGAATCCAACATGTTCGTAGTGAATTAAGATATAGTTTTAATCAGAGTGCATTCCCACATGATTTTTATAATATTATTAGTGTTAGTAGTTATCATTTCATTGACATTTGATCCCTGTTTACTTTTCCCTTTCTCTGTGATATCCTTATAACATTGTAGTTCTGGAACAAGCCACCGTGCAAGAAATCCGAGATGCAGCTGAATGTCTACAAAAAGATTTCAACGAGGCTTTGAAACTGGTCAAGGAAATTGTTGAACTTGACCGTAAGTTTCCATTTATGTAAACATTTTACTCATCGGTGAAATTTTCTCGGAACAATTCCTTCGTTTGTGTAAAAAGCTTTCTGAAAGGAAGTTACAAATTGTGTGAATTGTTATTTCAGTAACATGCTATAAGATACAATACCATGTATTGTTATAAGTTTTTGAAACCTTTGTCAACAAATCGAGTGTATTTTCGTTTCTGTGATAACGTGACTTGTAATTAAAAATGACCATTTCTTATGTATATAGGCAGTAGCTAGGAGCGAGAGATTAAACGTATTTTTCTTACCATGATAGATATCCTGGATACAACATTCCGACTTAACCCAAAGTTTGAAGTGTTAACAGCAAAGCTTGGTGAGATGTTTAATGACGTAGAGATGGACGTTAATAAACTCCCAGGTGAGATACTTAATTCTAACATCGACAAAATCACTTCAGGACAAATGTCGTAAAATTCCTACTGTAATGTTTATGTCATATTGATACAGACCTGTATATAGGGTCTTCACATGAGCTTCCATTGACATTTATTAAAACAAATCTCAGAATTTTCATCTTTAAGATTCATCAAAATGAAAATATTGTGACGAGTTAGATTACTCACATTTTAACTTAATTTAATATCCTTTTCATCACATGATCGATTATTCAGGCAAATATTGCAAAGTCATTTCGGCTCTATACATAAGGTCTTCATTGCTATATCACAAACTGTTTGTGGCGTTTAGATAAACAATTAATCGACATACACCTGCAAAATTACGTTGCCATAAACGTGTCATCAGATATATGACTATTTGGCATAAGTATGTATGACTTTTCATACACGCCTATGTTGATATAATTACTTGATGTACACGTGTATTCAGAAATATCATTACCTGACACAAGAATACGCTGATATAATTAATCTGCATGCATGTGTATGTAAACATAATTTTATGATTACTTGATGTACACGTGCAGGTTAATAAAATAAATGATAACGCGCGTGTATGTGAATACAAGTTGACACTCACGTGTATGTATATAATTAATAGACACACGTGTTTTACTTTACAGACTTGACAGACAACATGGATGATTGGATGTTCCTCGACCAATGTGTGGAAGGTAGGTTTTACATCACTGCCTAGTCTCTTCTTTTTGTGTGATGTAAGGGTATGCAGTTATATATATTAAATTCAATAGATTCAATATCTTGCCAGATTATACTCATATTAATTCATCATTAGGTCTATACCTGTACTAGTTATCGTATACTCGGTATATATTTTTACTACATATTCCATTGTCATATCAGTATATTTTCACTAAGTATTCCATTGTCATATCAGTATATTTTCACTAAGTATTCCATTGTCATATCAGTATATTTTCACTAAGTATTCCATTGTCATATCAGTATATTTTCACTATGTATTCCATTGTCATATCAGCATATTTCCACGAAACTTTCCCATACTCTTTTTGTATATTTTACAAATGCCAGTACACTATGTTGATTACTAATTACTGTGAATGTTAACTTTCACACAGTTGCCCGTAACACAGACTTTAACCAGATAACAGACAAGAGGGATTTTCTTAACGAAGTTTTCAACCAAATTTTCGCGTGTCAAGCATCAGGACTTCAGTTTCTGGTAGATCTGGCCGACATTAGAGATTTGGCTGGTAAGTATATGTGACGTCATAACAAGTCATCAATTATCCTATCTGTTTAATACTGTAATTGTGACATAAGTAATTTGTATACGTGATATGAAACCTGGTATGTAGATTTCGTTATTTAACTTTATCAGGAAAGCTGATAGATACTGTATTAGATAGTAACTGTGTATTCCAGACAAAGATGTGACGAAGACGACGATAGGGAGGAAACTGATTTTCTTAGAGGCTGCCGTGATAGAGATGGCTCATCTTCTCAAATTCAAAGATGATTTTGTGATCCGTGTTCTTACTGGTATGTACTTTTCAACGTCCAGAAATACTGTCATGATTAATTTCAATTACTACCTATCATTACATAAAAAGAATGCTTATCTAAAAATATTTATTGCTTAATATTTTGATACGGTCTTGTAGAATTACTGAATTATGATATGTTGGTCAACTATGTAGATAAGTCGATGTATATGTACGGAATACACCAATAAATACTTTAGATGGTCTCTTTAAAATCATATTTCTTGAAAATTAAAAAAAAAATAAACATAAAAAGCGGTCAATATTGATGGACCAGCTTCATTTTTTATAGTTATTCCCAGCTGTCGTCATGGGCAACCAGTACAACACAGACATCAAGCAAAGCTGTTTCGTACATCTTATGAAATATAATGTTGATGTTTCCAATATTCAATAAATATGCGACAATATGGCGTACAATAGATTACCGAAGACTACAGTAAAGCTACTGAGTCTGCAGCAGAAGGCTGTGCACACTGATTTTATCCCTTAAGTTTTGATAGTACCTTTTGTATTACTACGCAAGTCACATTACGAAAGTACATTATAGGAAAATAAAATCAATGATGTCCGTAGATTGATCTCTGCGGTCGGCATTGCAAATGTCAATGTTAAAACATACGAGCATAAAAACTGAACACAAAAATATGTAAAACGTTGTCTGAAATACAATTCACATAAAAAACGACATTTTTAATCTTGTTCAAACACACAAATGAACAAAACCTTTCAGAACAATTCAGATTTAAATACAGTAGAACCAAACAGTGATCTAAACTGCATCACACAGCTGTTTCGTCCTTCTAGGACTCGTCAGTGATGTTTAGGGCCTAAAATTTGACGGACAGGAGGCGATTGAGGAAATCCAAAGTGATAAAAAGAAAATCCAAAACATAGATACGGAGGTGCACAAGCTACATAATTCAATATATTGCGTAATTTTTGTATATCTGACAACTTTAGATGAAATAACACACATTTACAAATAACATTTATTTCTGTAAAGAGACACATTTCTACAATTATTCCAACGATAACCGACAGAATTAAGTATATCCTGTAATAACTGTCTCTCTAATAGTGACCTCTATAAGAAAGATATACATACAATTTTATTATGAGAGTCTTATTTTTTCAGACTACGACGAAAGTACCCACAACGAATTGGTCCATGGACCGAATGAAGGAGGACACAAGCCATCCCCGTCTCCTTCACCTTCGCCAGAGAAGCGTGGGAGGCCTCCAGTAAAACAAGGAGGAATGACAGGAAATGACGTCAAACCAAGCTCACCTGCTCCCTCAACTGGAGGACCCAAAGGCACAAGGCCACCACCAGAAGATTCGTCAGAAGAGATTGATGACGACGATGACGATGATGACGATGACGACGAAGACGAAGACGACGAACGAAGTCTCCTAATACGCATATTGAATGTACTTCGTAGAGGAAAAAAGGGAGGAAATAAAGGGAAATCTAAGCCAAAGGGAAGTCCTTCTCCAGTTAAAACGACACCGGCCGGTCCTAAAGGAACTAGACCACCACCAACTGAATCATCAGAAGAGGTTGATGAGGACGATGACGATAATGACGATGACGCAGACGACGAAAGAAGTCTCCTGATACGCATATTAAATGTACTTAGTAGAGGAAAAAAAGGAGGAAAGAAAGGGAAATCTAAGCCAAAGGGAAGTCCTTCTCCAGTTAAAACGACACCTGCCGGTCCTAAAGGAACTAGACCACCACCAACTGACTCATCAGAAGAATCTGATGAGGACGACGACGGACGAAGTCCTCCCCCAGGTAAAACAACACCTGCCGGTCCCAAAGGAACAAGGCCACCACCAACTGACTCGTCAGAAGAAGTTGATGAGGACGATGACGAAGACGACGAAGAGGAAGACGATGACGACGAACGGAGTTTCATATCACGTATATCAAATGTACTCCGTGGAGGAAAGAAAGGGAATCCTAAGTCAAAAGGTAGTCCTCCCCCGGGTAAAACAACGCCTGCCGGTCCCAAAGGAACAAGGCCACCACCAACTGACTCGTCAGAAGAAGTTGATGAGGACGATGACGATAATGACGATGACGATGATGACGATGACGAAGACGACAAACGGAGTCTCCTAATACGCATATTGAATGTACTTCGTAGATACGCATATTAAAACGAATGTACTTGAATCATCAGAAGAAGTTGATGAGGACGATGACGATAATGACGATGACGAAGACGACGAAAGAAGTATACGCATATTAAATGTATTTAGGAAATCTAAGCCAAAGGGAAGTCCTTCTCCAGTTAAAACGACACCTGCCGGTCCTAAAGGAACTAGACCACCACCAACTGACTCGTCAGAAGAATCTGATGAGGACGACGACGGACGAAGTCCTCCCCCAGGGAAAACAACACCTGCCGGTCCCAAAGGAACAAGGCCACCACCAACTGACTCGTCAGAAGTATCTGATGAGGACGATGACGACGACGAAGACGAGGACGATGAACGAAGTCTAATATCACGTATATCAAATGTACTCCGTGGAGGAAAGAAGGCAGGAAAGAAAGGGAAACCTAAGACAAAAGGTAGTCCTCCCCCGGGTAAAACAACGCCTGCCGGTCCCAAAGGAACAAGGCCACCACCAAAAGACTCGTCAGAAGAGAACTTATTTAGCAAAGAAGTTATGGAAGACTTTCTTGATAAGATTAAAGGCGATATGAAAAGAGAATATTATACAAGGTAAAACAACACTGTGACAAGCACTTACAAATGCAGATACATTGCGATGTGATGTATGGACCTGAGAGTATTTGAATTAAGTCATATATTGGAATTCATTTTTCCTGATAAAACTTTGTAAGTCAACACACAGATCAATTTATCTAGCTTTGTTACAATAGACAAATATGACATGTACTACGTCATTTTTTGTCAACAATGAGATTTCCCCGATTCAGTTTCTAGTGGTCTTGTGATGATTAGTTTTTATTTACACAAGACTCACGATGTAAAAGCCCTTTCACAGCACCATTTTACCGTCTATAATTAGAGACATTTGTACCTAGTGGTTTAAATTCTTTAATTGAAAAATAGTATATTCTATACATAAAGTCGATGAACTTCCACGTTCAGCAAAATACGACGCATAATAATCGACGTTTTATAGAAATAAAGAATTAAGAGGTTTGTGAACTGATTGATTTTTCGTTAAATATTTGGTGACAGGATCAGTTTAAAAAGAGAGATTTTAATGGAATATCATTTTCAAAAATTAATTCTTGTAAGAGACGAAGACTAACAAAATATGAACATGTTGTCAACTAGCTATTGAAGTACAGACATAGAACTCATAGATAGTTGCACAACGCAAACAACAAGAGAATCCGAATATGTTAAGATTCAAACTCAGAACACAGGAGAGATTTACTGATGAAATGAGGGAAAACACTTAATTTCCGGAAGCGTAAGCGTCTTCCGCATCATCAACGACACCGTCAATGTAAAAAACAGGGCAAGTCCAAGAACGAAAAGTCACGTTCTTTTATGGATATATTCACATTCAAATGGACTTAAAAAAATTTGCTGAAAATAGCCTATTAACTTACCGACACAATTCAGATGGTAATCTAAGTTATTCCACAGATAAACATCGTTCATTTCACCGTTTAAGGAATAAAATATCTAATAAACATATATATGAAAATATGTCTTACACAAAGTAAATCTCATACATAATATCTGTTATTTTCAAATACATATACATATGTATTGGGCGTCGTAGGTTCGTCTCTACAGTGTGCATTGCAAATGCGAATATATACAAATTAATGATTGTTTTCAAACATTCGATAGTAACATATACACTAAGGTAAACATCTAACTTCATAACGAAAAATGGAACATTTTAACAACAATAATATTTAATCAGTCTGCGTCAGAAAAGTCGGTTCTTTACAGTTTTTATTGTCAACTGAAGAAGATCAGGCACAAGTTATAATTTATCATCGTCTTGTCCTCACAGATAAAACAAAAAAGTTGATGTACAAATAATAACAAAGATATTAAAATACTTATTGCAAACTTTATCAAAATCTTTTCCTGGATTTTATGAAAGTATGCACGTAACAAAAGATTTCTACATTGAGTGTTTAATAGTAAACAATGGACACGGACACCACATTTCTTGACACTTAATAAAAAAAATCGTCAACACGTCCCTATAAGAACATTCGGTCTTGGCAGGGTATTTTTAACTGTTTTATGAGCTCTTCGGCAAACAAAGCATTGGATGATAACAGATCCCAGAGGGACTGGCCTTTATTTTCCTTTTAAAACTTCAATCTGTTCCTTTCATTTGTATTTTCTCTAAATTATATGAAATTTTAAAATCTCCCTTTCAAGTAATAGCGATAATCCTCAACTCCCATGGTGGCCGTCTTTTGGTAATTTGTTTATGTATTCAGTCACAGAATCAAAAGGACACAAGTAGGTAGCAAGGGTGACCTACAAATGAAACCTGAGAAAGATCCATCCAGTATTATCCTAGACATGATGGCCATAACCTTTAATTGTCAAAATCTAAGATAGCCGCCTGTTGCTAATTTTTAAAAACGACAAATATGGTATGATGGGAAACTACATGTGAAATCTGGGTAAGATCAATTATGCATTTCTCCAGAACTTGTGATAGCAAATTTCCATAGCCTTAATCAAAGATTGCGACCTGTCGGCCATGGTTTATTCGATCAGTCCCAAAATTAAAACGGTGCAGCTAGTGACAAAATGAAACCTACATATATGGAAAGGATGCATGTAGTTCGCCTACAGAAAGTGTGATTACAAACTGTGACTGCCAAAAACCAAGATGACTGCCTGCCGGTCATGTTCTTTTCCGATCGGGCCCAAAATGAGCTTTGCACAACCAGGGACCCATGCGAACCATCTAGCGATCTCTAGAAAAAGCGAAGTATTGTTTCAGTAAGGACGGACGGGTTTGAAAATCTATCAATATATCAAAATAGATCTTTGCAACAAGAAATCTAACCTTTTCATGATTTTGTCCTTTCTAAGATACGCAATAATCTAGTTCGTTACCATTTCCTGGAAAAAAACGCTCACAACTAAAAGGAATGCGACCAATTATTTTGAAATGGGTAATATACTACACAGAGAGAAACCAGAGTGAACACTTGTACTAGGATGGACGCTAAGTACCGAATTGGATACTACGAAAGGTGTTCGGAATAAGGTCCTTGAATTGTTTGTCGTTAATAGACACCGAGGATAAATTAAGTAGCAGCGGGCACGATGTTCCGAAGGGAGAATTCGATAAAAGAGTGAAAACTAGAGGCGAAATTAAAATAAAAAATCAATGTTAACACAAGGTGAATGAGGGGACATGAAGAAACAAAGGGAAATTCTAGGTACCGGAGTGGACACGAAACACCAAAGGGAACACAAGGTACCAGAGGTAACAGGACATACAAGGAGAATTCAAGGTATCGGAGGGGACATTGAGTTCTTAAGGAAACACTTTGCATTGGATGGACCATGAAGTACTTAAGGGAACACTAGGGACTGGAGGGGACATGAAACACTAAAGTAACACAGGGTACCAGACGTAACAAGAAGTACAAGGGAGGCTTAGGCACTGGAAGGGACATGAATTACTAAAGTAACACAGGGTACCAGACGTAACAGGAAGTACAAGGGAACACTAGGTACTGGAAGGGACATGAATTACTAAAGTAACACAGGATACCAGACGTAACAGGAAGTACAAGGGGACAGTACGTACTGGAAGGGACGTGAATTACTAAAGTAACACAGGATACCAGACGTAACAGGAAGTACAAGGAGCGTCAGGTACTGGGAGGGACATTAAGTACCAAAGGAAACACTAGTCACCAGAGAGAATATAAAGTGACCATTCATACACATTGGTTTCCCTTCTCCCAAGGATGCTAAAGATCAAATCTGGTCAAAACAGAGATTTGTCTCTCCGATTTTGGGCTAAGCTAATCTTCCTCAAGTCAAAGGTTCAAATCAAAGGATTTCTTTCAGGAACGATGAAATTTTTCCCATGCGACAAATTAAACAAAAGTGGGTGGTATTTGTAGCACCTTAAGTGACTACCCATGAAATAGGATTGAAAAATCCAAAAGGTCCATAGAGCATGTGCTTTGACTCATTTAGTGTCGTAATCATAGGAGTATGACAGGGTTCAGTTTTTCATCCTAAAAAGTATTAAAACCACAGTGTACATAACTTAACAATATACTGTTTGATTAACAGTGATAAGCTTGACAATGTGGTGGTAAATATGTATCAAAATATTGCAAAATAAAAAAACATATAGTTTCAAAATTGAACAAATATGAATTTTTGACATTTTTACACAATTTTTCAAGGAACTTCAGCATGTACTTCCAGTTTGAGTGCAGCAAAAATCTTTACATATTATTTGTATTATTATTCCTCAAAAAAAAAAAAAAAAAAAAAACTGTTGAAACAATGGTGTACATCATCTTAGTATGTCAGTTTTGAATAAGTAAATTCTGCTGCAAGTTTCCATGTCAAAAATACATATAAATATTGTTAATTAATAAAAGTTAACAATCTCAACTTGAAAATGACATTATTTTAACAGTTTCTCTGATAAGAATTGTTTTCTTGAAAGAAAAAAGCCTACTTCCATTTTCAGAGCTCAAAATATTTTTATCAAATTATTTGGCTTGTTATCTGAAGTGTATACCGTGAAAATCCTTTGGACAAAACCCTGTCAATCCCACAGGGTATAAGGAAAATAACAAACAAAAATTTAATTTTCCTGTTTCGCCATTCCCCTCAGACTTAAAGCCCACGACTAAAGTATAATTAGTTCCTCTTCGCTTCAGGACATTTCTGTTCAAATTCACTTCAATCTACTGAGCAGTTTAGGATCAGTTATCATTTAAAGAAAGTAAAGTTGATGGATGAGAGAGGCTTTGTCTTGACTTTCATCCACTGATCTTTGGACCAGCTAAATTTTGTTTCACAAATCTACTATGAAATGGAAACAAGGGTACGATTCTCTTCACAAAGCTTATCTAATCTCCAAGTTTTCACCTTTGCTTGGCAAGTCTCACAATGTAGGCTAATTAGAGATTTTTTTTTTTCAAGGATGGTATTGATGGACACAAGTGTGACCAAATTCACAAGTAAAACACTTTGTTGGAGAGAAGCATCCATATTTTACTAACAATAATTTTTAACAAAATAAAATACAGTTAGATGGAAGGCAAAAATAACAGTTGTCAATACTATACATTATATCACTGTAGATTTTGTATTCTCTCCAGAATTTACAATATCCAGGTTTTAACTCTAGTTCCCATGGTTATCTTACAATCATATATATTTCCTTCAATTTGACTCGGTAAATCATCATGTACTGACACAGCTATATAAATGATGAACCTACGATGTCAACAGTAATGCTAATAGTAGTAATACAACATACATGTTGATCTAGATAAGGTTATAAAAGGCCACTTAAAGCTATTTCAGTCAGACATCTATCCTGACCCAGTACTCCAGCTTTTTTTAGGGATACCAACCATTAAATTTAATTACTAATTTGCCTAGAAGTATTAGGCATGAACCTGAACCATGGATAGAAGTTATTTACTTTGGAGTTCTGAGGTCAAGTAGATGTTTTACTACAATAGCTATTATATATCCTACCTGGGAACTCTCTGACCTCTCAGAATGATATGTGGTCGGATATGGAAGCACTAATATGACGGCCATTAAATACTTTAAATATGCTAGGGTACATCTTGTTGGAATAAAATTCAGAATGAAAATTCTCATACATTGCATATATGTACACATAGTCTGAGACAATAAAACATTGTTGTTTTAAATCTTATGCAGAAATACCATTAAATTCATGGACTTGAACTTGCTGAAAGGCATTAAATGAAATTTTGGGAACGTCATATAGCAGACTATTCTTGATAATAAGCTGCAGCTTTTTGCCTTGTCGGTCAGGCATGCATCTCATATGTGGACAAAAAAAAAAAAACAGAAAAAAAGTGATATTAAGAAAGGCAAACATATTTGAGAGGTCACCAACAAAAACAGCACCAATTTCATCCATGATAGAAAGGTCACTATTTATTTTGGTCCATGTTCTGTAGCATTGCTTGTCGTAACTTTGTAACGACAACATTCCAACGATTCCTCCACTGCTGCAGGTTATGTTGATCCACGAGCACCCAGGGAACAGTTGACTGGGCTGGCTGGTCCCACCTTTATCATGGAGGAATTGGGAGAGATCAGCATTGTAGCAGGTGTAACAAAATTTGCTCAGTCAGGTATTGTAACAAATATCATTATTCTAGACCTAATTTCGAGGCAAGAAATGACAAATTTCAGCATAATAGTGTTAGTCTATAGGGCACAAATCTAAATACTTTCCAAAAGTTTATAAACTGTTGTGTTTAAGTCTATAACATATATACATTGTTGCAATTTCTTGGAAGTTGGTTAATTTTTTCAGTGAAAATTACTGCAAATACTTTCATAAATACCATACTACCTGAAAGTTTAAAGAAAGGTCAAGAAATGACACTTGTAAAATTCTGTTAAACAACAGGAGAGAAAATAAGTGTCCTCTTCATCTTACTTCAAAAGTTATCTGCCTAAATAGGGTTTACAAGAAGGTAAAACGGTTTGTAAAAAACACTCACCAGTCCTGAACAGTCTGATTGGTAGAGTTTGCCCCAACTAAACACTTCTGAGCCTTTTCGATGCGGTCTTGAAGAGCAGGAAGTAATTTATCCAGCTGCTTCCTGTCATGCTCACTGATGTCTTCACAAAGGTCTATCATCAAAGAATCAGTTCAGCATTAGTTACTACATATCACCCAAAAGTTAACTGGCAAAAGGCTCAGCATTACTTCACTGAATCGTATGTACCACATTGTATCATGTGAAGATTCATGGTTAAATGTAATTCATTTGTGTGCAAAAGTACTTAACTTAATTTGAAGATTTTAATAATTGACTTTATCCTTTAACTTAATCATATCACAGATTACTCTCCACATTCCTTTAAAAGTTTGGCAATACAGTGATGATGAAGTAGCGAAAGTCCCCTAAGGGTTCTTTGTTAAACTTTTTGTTTATTTGTTTTTCTGCATGTTTCTACTTACCTTTTATGACATCTACAACATCTTTGTCTCCTTTCTTTGTTCCAAAATGGTGCAGCATGTTGTCATGGTGATCTAACTGTTGTGAGATACTTGTCAATTTTGACTTCTCCTCCAGACAGTGTGACATTATCAACTCTGGTCCCTACAATAGAGAGTTAAACAATTCAGCTTTTATTTGTCAAACAGAGCAGATAAAACAATATAACGTGAATCGTGTGCTAACTTTGGTGACCCTCTAAGACTCAAAGTCTGCTTGTTTCATTATTTGAACTTACTTGATGTAAACCAGTAAAATATTTTCTTCACCAAATATTAGTGTTCCATTACCTAGTTAAAGCCATATTCCTCCAGAATAAGTTTATCTTTCACATTTCAATACCATAATTTATCACCTAATATGCAATTTCTGCCATGTTATAAATATGAGAATTAAAAAAAAGTTGTATGATAAACATGTAAGTGAAAGGACTTGCTATTAAAACAGGCACATAATCATTTTCATCTATAGGCTTGACCAGTTAGATTAGGCTTCTTCATTTAAAGAACTAGGGATCTAATTCTAATTTCTGATGAGCCTCAACTAAGCTCTTTGAGACCTGTACTAATATCAGCTGGTCAATCATATTTTATGCTAAAATATCACACCTGAAGTGCTGATGAACCAGTTGTCCACTTAAACGAACAGGCCCTATGTGTCATTTAAACAAAAAAGTATATAAATAATAGATTTTGTACCAGATACACAGGAAACTGTAGGCTACTGGAGACTTCTTGTAAGGCCTGACAAGATGCAGTAGAGACCTGATTTGTTGGCTGGTTAATTGACATGTCCATCACAGCGACTTTAAAAGGACTGGAATACAAACACATTCAAAACTTAAATGTATTTGATATAACACCAAATGACTGTAGAGTGATTGGTCCAGGGGTTAAAACATTCCTGGGATTATACTCAAAACATTACAAGGTTTATCATGAATAGCATCGATTGCAATGGAGGAAAATCTCACATAAAAAGAGAAATGTCATAAAGTTAATAAACATAATATGTCAAGGAAAAACAAGAAATAAAATGCATTTTGTCACAAACTGAAGCTTTTCCACAATATGTCCAAAATAAAGCAAAAAAAAAAAAAAATATACAGGTATATCTTTTCTGTAGATAGTTGCATTTCCTCCAAAACTAAAACTGGTATGCCTGTGAATAACCTACATGAGAAACTCAGCTTTGTTGGTTATGGATGTGGTGTTTGGTGAAACATACAAAATAATGTTTCGAATGCATATATGCCTATACCAAGTATTAATGTTTTTGGAAAAAACTGGCAGTTTTACTACATCTAAATCTGTCTGACCTTCGACCCTATGACCTCGAATGTTTGTCCAAAGTAATTTTTTCATCATTCCCTACAAGTTTTAACTGTATATGCCTATACCATATAAAGGGTTGAAATTTTTTTTAAAAAATTGGCGAAGGTACTTACTTTTCAGTATTGATGACCTTTGACTCAGTGACCTTAGAATTTGGTGAACAAAATCTTTTCAAACAAAATGGCATTTTGCACCATCCCAAGAGGCTATACCCTCTAAGGCCACAAATTTTGCTGGTATTTTACATTTCAATCATATTGAGCACTTATTTCAGTTATTTGTCAAAGCAGAGAAAATGATTTTTTCAAAATCTGAAATTTTGATTTCCCTTAAGGTAGTGATGCTAGTGATCACATTTGATTGGAATTGACCCAGAAGTTCTTGAGAGAAAGCTAAAAATGTTACAAGTTGATGAACAACACATCACAATGACAAAAATGATGACAATAAGTCACCATGAGTCAGCATGAACACTATCAATATACGCATATGAGTAACATTGTTTGCTGAACTTGCAATAGTTATCAAATGTTATCTTTGACTTTTTGACCTTGAGTGATGACCACCTTCATATGATAAAAGGACTTAGTGTTATGACACAACAGGGTAAATATGAACCAAAGCTGTTGAGGGGTCCTCAAAAATTGTGAATGCAAAATGATGGGAAAGACATGGTCAATACCATGTGCCCCCTATAAAACACTTACAACAAACAAGGAGAATTTGTATCAACATTTACCTGTCTGTCTGACTGGAGAAGAGCAGACAAGGGAGAGTCAGACCAACAAACCTGTCCATTTCACTGACCATACACCCATGGAGGCCATTAGCAAAGGACTTAACTTCCACTTGATGAGAGAGAAGGGATCTTTGAATGTACTGCTGAATCTGTCAGAGAAAGTTTATACACTATTGAAAACAGATATTTCAGAGCCAACTTACACATAATGATCTAAACCAACACCAGACAGACATATTCTGATGATATCTATGAAATCAGTATAATTGTTTTTCTCAATATTTTACATTCGCAAAGAAAAATCAACATTTAATTTATCAATGTAATTACTGTTTATATGGTTTTTTCTTAAGAGGTTTGATTAAAATCTTAATATTGTATTTTCATTAGGCAAACTTTACATATTCAGTGTTAGAGTTGTTTCCTCCTACTTCTCCATGATTACTAACATGTTTTTCACTGAAATATGAACAAATACTATCAAGATTTGTTTTACTAATATTTTCAGGGTTTTATATCACATCATGTAATTACTGTGTTTTTTAAAGAGTATCTTACAATTCCCTAAGCCTTCCTAAGGTTCAATAACCAGTTCTATATATAAGTCACTGTTTCTAATCTACTTGTCCTGTATTTTGTTTCCAATAAATCCACAGCACAAATTATGTTTTCTTCCGGTAGACTTACCTCCCTTTGTTGTTCATCAAGTCTTGATATTGCATTAGCGTTTTGCTTAATGAGGACACGAATTAAGTTCTGTTTTTTGTCCTGTATAAAAAAAGATGGAATTCTTAAATAACATCTAATGAGGGTAACTGCAATTAAATTAAGATATCTCAATGTTCTTTCTAAAGATGAACTAAATTGTTTATTTTCTCTTTACATTTCAAATTGTCTTCAAGACTTGAAATCTGTGGTGAAATTTTTACTTTATTGTTATAAAATCAACCATTTCGTTTGACAAAATTGCTTTGTAAATATCAAGAAATAATGCTGTATTTCATAAACCACTAACCTCCAATAAAGTAAATACATCAAGATACTTACAGCAATCTGTCTAAAATCCTGTATTTTCTGATACTTAGCCAGCAGCATGTCCTTGTCTCGTAGTGATTTAACAATTCTCTCCTTCAGTAAGTCGGCCTCATCTATACAACAGGTCAGGGCAGCTCGCTTGCCTGCTAACTCTAACTCATAATCCACCAACTCCCTAAATCGGCAAACAATAGAATATATATATATATATACAAAAATACTATTTGTTTTGGAGCCACATGTTCAGTAATGATTGATTATAAAGAGTAATTACTGTTTCTCACTGACATTTATTACTAATGATAAGTTAGAACTTAATCCAGTAAAGTGTCTATTTTCACAATACAAGGATTTCAATGTTGATATGTGGATCAACAACTAAGAAGGTTACATATGTGACTTATTGTAGATGACACTGGTAACTATCATAAAACATATAATCACTATGGTAAGGGCAAAAGGAATCGCACATTTTTATAGAGATTAATTTGACAGACATCTGTTTGAATGTACAGCCTTTCATCTTTAACCTTCTAAAAACAAAGCATTTGGTCCAATAGGTTTACATGTCTAGAACCAAAGAAATGGCTTGAAACAGAGTACCTTCAATTTCCATTCCAAGTGTTTTCACTATGGAAAGAACTACAGGAATTTTATAATTCCCCATAACAACATGTTGACGTAAATGAGAGCACACTTGAAAATTAACATTTCATTAATCAATACAAACTTGGTCAAGTTCATCAATTTCACTACTGCCACATGACATTGAAAAAAACTCCCACACTATGTATATCTTCTGATGGTATAGCTACCTCGCCTTCTTCAGACTTTCAGCTTGTTTGAATGTTTTCTTCAGTTGATCATCAATCTTCTGTTTCACATTATGTAGCTGGTCATCTAACTCCCATGTCTCATTCTTGTGTTTCTCTGTCTCTATAAATCTTTGGATTTGTTTCAGCTGGCTTTCCTTTAAAAAGCATACAAAGAAACTATTACACAATTGTGCCTACATCCTTGAACCTTCAGAGCTTCAGAAGTTTAACTCAAATGAAAAAAAAAAAAAAAACAGAAAACTTGAAAAATGTCGTAAGACATGGAGGCTTCTTTTCAAATGCATGGAAGTATTGCTGCTGGATGACTTTACAGAAGATGTCATGTGACCTTTGACCCTTTACTTTTGACTCCCTTAATATGAATAGGTATTCAAAAGTAGATTTTGATTGGATAAATATGAAACAAAACTGTTGAGAGGTTCTGAAGATATGACATTGAATTTAATAGAAAAAAAACACAGTTTCACTGTAATTCCATTATACTAATTATACTTAAAGATTATAAAAATCAATCATGAATATCAAATTAAAGGTCCAAAGTCAACCATTCATTCAGTAAGATAACAGTAACTTCCACACCTTCACTATTACTGTACTACAAAAACTACTTACCTCTAATAACTGGTGAACACTTTGTAATAGAGATGGTGGTGAGGAAAGGTTGGTCATTTCACCTGGCTTCTCATACTTAAAACTGAAAATTGTTCCAATGGTAATATTTTGCAGTTTTTTTTTTACTTAAGAAAAATTGCTATAACATCACATGCTATGCTATCTTGAAGTTCTTAACTTAAAACCAAAACTGTAAACTCAAAACTCCAAGTTATCATTTCAGATACAGTTTGTTAGTTGGTTCAGCGATGAAAATATATTTAATGTACAAAATTACAAGACATAAACTAATAACTTTTAGTTAGCATTCCTATAAATATTGACAAAGAAGTTAGGAGAAAACAATAACATTCATGGACAACATGTACTATTTGTCATTTTAAAACTTTCGAAAACTCACCGTAGACGCTCTGCATCCCTGCGGAGGTCAATGGAACTTGTCTTGTCACGGAGAGAGAGACTTGATTCCTGTGTATTTACCAGTAAAGCGGAGTACGTTTGCTGCACTGAAAACTCACGTAGCACATTCTCCACTTCACTCCATAACAATTCTTTCTTGCGTTGACTGAAATTAAGCCAGTCTTTTAAACATATGCATAAAGTATAAAAACAGCAACACAAATAGCAAATATATTTCAGAAAGCTAATAGTTGCCATGGATATATCAATGAATACTGATACTGAAACTGGTTCACTAGTTGTCTGCCAGCTGAAAATCATTCTAATGCTTGATAGTAGCAAACATACATGTGAAATGATATCTTTCGAATATATCACTTTCCCACGTACACACAAGAAAGAGATCTGAAAATAAAGTATTGCAACACATTGATAAATCTATGTATCACAAAACTGATAATTTTTCCATTTGATGCAACACTGTATTTCACCAATCACAGTTTCAAGTCATGATATTTTTTTCTCTCAAATCTAACAGACAGCAAAATGTATGCAACATACATGAGCTTTTCTTATTCAGTATTCATGTCAAAAAGACTTTTTCAGAGAAGGACAGATTGACTTGACTTTGTGTATCTGTGGTATATTGGAAATGAACAGAATCAACCTAAAATTTAAATATCGGTCTACTTACATGGCAGTTATTTCTGTACCAAAAGAACCCTGCAGAAGTGTATACAGGAAGTGTCCTACAGAGTCACATGTTTCCCGCACCTTTTTCTTTAAAACAGTCACATTTCATCATTTTAACAGGAATGTTTCTAAATGAATACTTCTTAATCATATATTGTTTACTTTGAAAACTAATGTGTGTTGATGAATAATACAAAATATCTGGAATGAAATCGAAAAACTGTCTGCTCTTTATTACACATCTGGTGAAGCTAGATATCGGCTCTGCACATTATAACAGATATTGAGCACACCATTTGACATAAGAGACTATTACAAATTAATCAGGACATGCAAAATTAAACATGAATAAGAATGTCTGATATATATGGAAATCGTAATTTTAAACTACTATCCAAGACATCATACCATAAAAAATATAACATCAAAGCTCATCAAACTATTTTCTTCTTTTCTTCAAACATTTGTGTATATCTAGAGCACAATAACACCAATGAAAGTATTGGAACAATGAATGTAGTTTCAGTGGGTAGAATTCATTAAGCAGCATGGAATAGACTGTTTACAAAATTTCAATTCTGACATGTCTTTTCACTAGCATCTTTTGCCAAGTTAAAAGATCTTTCTATCAAGTTTTGGTTTTAAATGTTGGCAAATACTTTAATTTTAATTTGACATGTTTTTGCCATTTTTGTTCGATTTAATACTTGCGGTTTTAATAAAATATGCCCCTTTAACCCACACTGTTGGGTTGATTCAATTCCTGAAACACTTAATTAATACCAGTAATTAACAGGAACACATAGTATTGAGTTGTCGACTTTGCTTACACTGCATCTTGTCTCCAATCCTGATGAATTGCTGTAGTGGTCATCATCAGTAGAACTATGTTTGCGACTGTAGTATTCATCAGACTCTGTTGCTTTTCTGTCAAAGAAAAAAATTTTCAAATAATTAAGAAAAAAATTAAATAAAAATTTTTAAAAAAAATCTCAAATAATAATAAAATTTCTCTAGGATTAGCACAAATTCCTTAAAAAGTGTCTTTCAGTCAAGTCTGCTTTTAGGGACACACAACTTCAATGTTTTCAGCATGTTTAAATGTCCATTTTGTTTTGAGAATGTAATTAACACTGTATAACTGTACTACAGTTTTAATATTTTGTATTTATTCTTACCAGAGCTAGATTACATGGATTATACTTCACCCCACTGACTCCTCTTGAGTATCTTGCAGTTCACAGAATAACGTAGTTGTGTTTATACAGGCATAATATAATATAATTTCATTGATTATATTAAGATTGGAAACCTCATAAGAATGACCATGATCCTACTATACAGAATACTATTATGGGACACTTCCAGTAGGGACTCAATCAACTGGAACTGATTTATTAATATGGTTTCATTGTACAAGAAGTAATTTTTTTTTACTTTGCTCTGTTGGTGATATGGTTTATGCGACTGTTGATTCTGAGACAGTACTCCTCATACATATGAATTGTGGTTTGCCCTTGCTGGTTGAAAGCGTGGAGCAGGGCGGACTTTCTCCGAAGGTCTGTTAAAGCTGAACATGCCAGAGCATAGGTCCTCTCTTTAATAGAAAGATAATCATATCATACAAAGACAAACCTTAATTACTGACAGATTACGAACACAAACATACCACCATACATATATATATATATAAATATATACCTACAATGTAGACATTTTAAATGGACAGGTAAATATATTCTGTAAATAATCTTTAAAAAGGGTTTCTTTATTTGGGAGCTGTAACCTCCAATACTGATGAATGATTTAGTTGTACCATACTATTTGCAGTAATCACCAATGTTGGTTGTAAGTTGTTTTTCTGAGAACATGTACTAATAATTAAAAACAGATTTATACTTCAAGTACCCATTAGTGTAAATCTGACACTACAGTTCTAGTTCACAGATTAACTAATAGGCATATAGTGTATGATTGCACTTTGATTTAACCCTTTCGGCACCAAATATCTCTCACAATGTACAGCTCAGCGCCAAATATCTCTCACAATGTACAGCTCAGCGCCAAATATCTCTTGCAATGTACAGCTCAGTGCCAAATATTTTCCGGAAAATATCCGAAAACAATGGCAGCATTACTAAAACAAGCATATCTTGGCTAATAATAAAGATATAAAAATTGTCGACTTTAGTCGCCTATGGCGGCCTGTCTGCATGTTGACTTTAGTCGCCTACGGCGCCAAAAGGATTAAGATAAGATATCCACAAAGTAATATGTTACAAATGCATGGACAGGTATATGGTATAAAAATACTATTTACTGTCAATGTAGTACTGACAACTTTAAAGTTTCTGGTTGTAATTGGAAAGAAATTAATTAAATAATAAAAGAAAAAGGATGAATATGTGCCAAAACACTTACGTGTATCTACAAGTTCTTGTTGTTGTCGTTTAAAGTCATTTTCCAAGTGACTAAGATCTGTGATGATGTTAGTTACTTTCCCTGCTAGCCGAACTCTTCTATCTAACAAGTTCTGTCTCTCACTGTCATATTTCTCATCTGATTTGAAATTAACCTTGTAGGTCCTTTTTTTCCTCCCTTTTCTTTGTTTCAGTAAAGGAATTCAATTCAACTATAAATCTATTTCATCTTTACTTTTCACAGGATAACTTTCCTAAACACAATATGAACAACTTTAAAGTTATTATGATACATGTTCCTCTTACTTCATACTGTTACATGGAATTCAAGGAATTTAAAACATGTAGAATAATCATCCTGATACTCCAGGGGTTACAATCACTTTAGCTCTCTGTACCCCTGGAACATGTCATGCCAAATTGAAGGTTCCATGTGCAACACCTTGTGGACAAGAGGAAAAGACTAGTTTGATCCTTTGATGCACATCAAACGAACCTCAAAGTCACATAACAGTATACTGTAATGGCTAGGAAAATGAGTGTTGCTCCTTTGTAATCTTCAAAAGGAGCATATCAGACTGTAAATCTGGAAACAATGAAATTACTTCACTTGTGCCTTCAATTTTTCTATGACATGTTCCTGGGTTACAGAGAGTGAAAGTGATCGTAACCCCTAGAGTATGAATGATATTACATCTAGAGATCAAGGATACAAAGTTAAATTGCCTTGCACTTCTTTAACAGTTCTGAAACAAAGCAATGGAAATGATGAAAGTCATACTGATTACTGGTTTATGATTACAATTACATATTATCCAAAATAATATTAGAGAGAACCAACACTCTTTAGGTCGTTGAAAGAGATAATGTTCCTGGATGGATACCCAATGGTATTCACTAGAGATCCTGTGATGTGGGTAACATAATGTGAAAATAAAGGATTCTCAACATCCAAGAACGGCTGTTTATCTTTATTATTGGCACATTGTCGACATGTTTCGACCGCTAGCCAATAATAAAGATAAACATATTATTATACATATTATGTACAAACACAAATAGTCACTACAAACAGTGTATGTCTGTATTTATAAGTATAGTGTAGAAAAAACATAGACCTGATCTACAAAATATATCAAAACATTTTCCTTACTGAGATTCACTGTAGGTAGGACCTACAAGCGATCCTGCCAACCATTGTACGATCTTCATTGGTTATATAGAAGTTATATAGAAGTTGGATATTTGTCTTTCTTTCCTCTTCTTCCCTTTTGTCAGCCTTTAGTAAGCGCTATTATGTACTTCGAGAAATAACAATGACATACTATAAATTGTAAAATTCATGAAGGCTACTCATCAACCCTTTTGTTTTGTGTATCAGTCTCAAAATAACCAATACACAACTAGAAACCACCGGGAATCTACAGACAAAATCTAAAAACGATTCATCCAGCAGTTCTAAGTAAACACTTATACCGTGAATCGGTTACAAACGGACAAACAAGGAGCCGTTTAAATAGCCAACCATCAGATGGTGTGGGCTGATGAATATTGCATAAATCCTGTTTCAGGCATACTTTGTACCTTGATTATGAAGTTACTCTAGGAATTATGTTAAGGATCACATTTTCATCCAATCAGCCATGCTATAAAGGTCACTTTATATTTTGATAATAACTTTATGTAAATAATCTACTGATTACAATTATTAAAAAATTAAAGTTCAATTAGAATGCATACCTCTGTATCAATATCTGTTGTTATCGAAAGATTGCAGAATTTAGTGATAAAAGTCTATGCAATAAATTTCAAGGTTACTTGAGAAAATAATTCCAATAAATTTCTGGAGAATGACGTCCAACTTTCATACTTACTGTGCACTATAAACATGAGATGTAACAAACTTCCATATGTCTTTCATTTGTCCACGGCAAATGCTGAAATGAAATAAATTTGTATCCATATAAATCAAACAGATATAATTTACTTATTTTTATCACAAAATTTCTATTTGATTATTTCTAAAATGAAACCTGCTTAAAAGTATTGTTACTTTCAGTTGAAAAAAGAAATATTTACTCCATGCAAAGACCAATAAGGCAAAGTTATTCTAAGTCATGCAATCTGCAATAACAGCATAAAATTATTGAACTGTCACCTGTCATTTTAAACGTTTATAAATGGCTGTACAATTTCTTTTTCATCCTTCGCCCTGAACACACATACTGTATTCATAATTAATAAGATTCATTAGCTAAGTAAGGCAGCGTTTTGCTGAACGTGTAACAAAATCTTACCTTACATGATAACTTTAATTAGATCTTACCCTTTGAAATCATCTGCAGAAGGCTGTCGGACACCTACACCCTGTGGCCGGAAACGCATCTCTTTCGTGGCCCACTTATGTAACACCACAGCCAAATCACCGTCATCTCTTCGACTTGAGGTCATACTGCTAAGTTCCTTCCTTTTTAATATAAGACAATTCTTTTTAATTATATTATGTATATCTTCCTTCATGGGGTCTTTTTCTCAAACAGCAAAAGATACCTAAATTATATACAAAATGGACTGAAATAAATAAATAAATAATGAAATGAATGAAAAATTATCAACATCTTTTAGTTTAGATCTGTCCTAAACTACCTCAACAAGGTACCATTGATGAAGCTATATATAGGACCCTGCTGGCTGTGAGGCCACAATTTCAATCATTGTATAAGCAAGATTGAGAACTGCCATGGTATGCAATGTCAGATTGCAAATGAATACCAGTATTTTCTAGTTTTGAGGAATTAGATAATGCTGAAAATTACATTGTGTAGACTGTATATCCAATCATTTGCCATAATTTTTAGACAGTGAATTTAATTGAAACTAAACAGGTGACTAATCGGAAACAAAGGCTGGTAACATTAAACACAGTTTCTAAGCACTGATGATTTTTGAATTACCAAGTACTGTGAAAAATTAAACAGAGTAACTCTCTATGTTGCTGATCTAAAAAAATGTTTTCTTTATTTTATATGAAAAACAGTAAGCAATCATTTTATTCATTTTTCAATATACACCTTATAATGTAACACCTTGATTCATTAAAGAAATCATCTAAATCTTCTTCCTTGGTCTACTTAGGGGTGAAAATTATGTCCAGATATATAACACCAAACACACTTTGTAAAACTTGAAAAGCTCACCCTCTACAACAAATTTAAATTGATTTGTGTTTACCTCCTAAATAATCTGGATTGTATAAGAGTACAAAAAATAACAAAATGATCTCTTTCCCATACATCTAATAGTAATTAATGAAACTTTTCCAGAGGACTTGGGTCTTAAATACTACATACTTATTGTGGAGATAAAACTACAGGGGTTTCTGCTCGTTATGAGTAGAGGTTATTGTACTGGTGTATTACTATAAATCCCTATTTGTTAAGAAAGGGGTGGGGTGGGCTTTCGTTAACTTGGATGTTTTTAAGCAATTCCTTGGTGTTGTATAAGCTAAAGGTTAATTTGATTTGCTAAAGACCTAGGGAAAATATAAGTATCTATTTACAAACACTAGCTATAGAACAACATATATTTCAACAGAATTTTATATTTCACATAAGTAGCTAAAAAGCTTGCATATCGAACATGCGGTGGAAGCTTCCTGTATATTTCTACAGAGCTGTCTTGATAGTGTTGAACTTGTGATGTCACAGATTTGAGCCACATAGAGGCGATCACCACCAAGTCTAAGATTTGCATAACAGATTAATCCCAATATCTGGGAAACTGAATTAACAAAGATATACGCACTTTCTTGACCTTTTATTGTGATATGATGTATTTTATATCTAGATATAGCAAAGCCTTAAGGGTATACTTTAAAGTAAAAAAATTAAAATATCTTTAACTTATTTATTGTTCTTAAACTCAAGATCTGATGTCTCGGACTGTCAGACTCGTCATGCAATATATACCTTTGCAGGTTCTTGTTATGATTGTTAACGTGTAATATTGGATATTTCATATTCATGTTATTGTAGAACCTAGAAAATCGGATAATTAACGTTTAACAAATCACGATATACATTCAACCACACATGTATATAAATCATAGGTCTTACAGATAGACATTTTCTGTTTGAATAACAACTTATTGTCTGTGGCATATTATCAAATAACGAGTAATTAAAGTAGAGACTGACGCGACGGCTGACCCATGTACTACTAAACTGTTGAATGTTGTTGGCAAGCCGTGACACATTCGGCAGCAGTGATTTTATTTTACTTGATGAGCAGTCACATTTATTCAACTGCAATAGCTGAATACAAATCATGACAAATTAGGATGTTTGTTTTTTGAACGACAAAAGATATTAAACAACAGCAGATATATACTTAGATTGTACAAACTTTACCCAGTGACAGTTCAGCCTTTAAGTTAAAATTTCCGCCATCTGCATACCGGAAGTTGACCAATAATTTCTAATAGCTAAAATGATACTGCTGTGTCGGGCGTGCTAAATACGGAAAATTCTATTGTTTTAATGCATTATTTCTATTTCTTTAAAAGCATCACCTATGCATATAGTTAAATCGAAAAGTCGTATGGTGAAATCACAGCTAATATGCTTGTTAGAACTTGTTCCAGAAGAAGATGAGCCAGTTCGGGTACTTTGAAATCTTACCTTATATTAGGCCGATCATATGCAGATTTTGACGACATATCGCGTCGCGCATTCGCGGATTTCTCGCTCCAGTTGAACGATTTTTATATAGATTATATAGAGGCATTTCAGAAAAATATTGATGTATCGTTTTGTAGATAAAAATTCCGAAATGTATGCCTCTGATTAGTAAATTATTCATGTATGAGTTAATGTTTCAGTTACAGGAATTGGGTGTAGTGACTTTTCAATGGATTAGTTATGTAAAACAAATACTGGTTAAATGATATTTGGCCCTATCAGAATGTAACAGTGATGAATAAAAATTGCTTGAAGCATTTAGTACAATAGAGGCTATTTTATACAAAAATGGTATGGTGATATTGAAAATGAGTATCCGTTGTCAAGTGTACTCTATTTTCAAAGTTAACTTTGAAATTGAAAAGTATCTTTTGAAACTTAACCATAAAAACAAAAATATTATGTGTAGATTTCGCTCGTCCAATATTCACTTATCAGTAGAAACAGGTAGATGGACAGGATTTCCGCGAGAGGATAGCTTTACAATTTATGTACTGAGGAAGTAGGTGACTATTTCCATTATCTATTTAAATGTAATAATCCAATTATTTGTCAATTACGACGTAAATTCATTCCGTAATACTATACTTTAAATACCCAAATTTACACATAATGAATGGTATGTTTGCCTTATGTAATGTTAAATTACTCAACAAAATATCTAAGTGTAACCCTTTGTAATGCAGGGCCATTTAACAGAAGGCGAAGACTTCGGAGATTCTTGTTCCGCACATTATTTCTGGTAACACAGGAGCCTACAATGCACATTACATGCATTACAGTTAAATATAACATAAACAGATAATTATAATTAACCTACAACGCAATATTACATATTGGACCAATACTCACCAGGGGAGAATGTGCAAGTAACCCGGTGCTGGCCAGGATAGAGAATTACGTACACCTGGTTACAATAGTAAACAGAAAATATTCGTCACAAATTTAATTCTATTGGCAGGCTAGTATTGCATTTAATACATTGTACATAATTACTATTGGACTTGAAAAAAAACCACGGACTTCTTGCTTGAAAATTAAGAGCATGGATTCATGTTGCAACTACCAAGCTGATGGATTACATAATTAATTGACTTATTGACTGCTATTTATAAATGTAAGCCAAAAATCTTAATGAGAAATAAAATGTACTAGTTCAATGAATTCGAGATTTGCTCTGTACTATGTATTTGTATTGGATTGAAGCATTGCCACAGTAGAGAAAAATGTCTTTTTAAAAGTACCGGTTAGGGCCAATTAGAGAACTTCATAATTTCGCTCCCCAACGCTATGTCGACAGAGCGAGGAAGCGAGAACGCATTGGTTTCCGTGTTACCATATCGTCGTGAACTCACTCGCGAGATTGCTGGAAGTTTTTTTTTATTTTGCTCTAACCGTCCAAACATATGGATGGACGTTTAAGACTTTTTGATTAATAGTTTGACTGATAGATGCAAGATGGACATTCACAAAGTAGTCTACATCTACGATCGGTCAAGAATACCGGGTTTCTTTCTTGGTGATAGGCACCATTACCATACTGTAAATCATCTACGATTCGCGGATATTTATTTTCGCGTGTTGAAATTTAATTATTCTCTATGGCATCGACAACAAATATTGATGTCACATAAAGATATTCATAAATAATGAAACGGATAAACATTGAGGGAACCGGAGACTTAGTTCCAAAATCACAAATAAAAAGAGGGCCTGTGAAATTTGGTGCAGTAAATTTAGTAATTAATGAGCGACATTTGAAACGGATTTTGCCGAATGGACTAAATTTCATGCATACACCGATATATTCTTTGAAAGGAAACCAACTTCCAAACACTATCGCCGAAGATCGTGTTACACAGTATAGAATACGGACAATGTAGATTTGATGTAGATTTGCACTGTTCGAAAAAATGTCACGATGATGATGATGATGATGATGGTTTTGAGTTGACGTGGGCTTATTGCTATGATGCTCACGTGTTGCTTTGAAAACAATAAATTCCACTATAACTCCAGTTTTATATAGAAAAAGAAAACGCTCTTAATCTGTAGGGCCATGGTATCATCAAGAGATATCTGCCGTTTCGTGAACATTTATTGAACAAATAATCGCATGACGTCACGATAGATCATGTAAAAGCCAATTGTGACGTCACATTTTAGTTGCTAAGCTGCTTAGCAATCAGTGAAGGCGGAGATGATGAGTCTCTTCCCAGGATTTCGCTTTATGTTGTAAAATCTCGGCTTACCATAATGGATATCGGGTCATTCCTGCTATTTGTGGTAATGTTGAGCGTAATGCAACAAGGTCCGGCTGTATACAGCGACCTTGTTTGGTAAGTTGTCTTTATAAAGTCGCTACCATGACTGTTTTGACGGAATGCACGATGTCGTAATTGAAAACTCATACTTTTGTGAACTTACTTGAAATAATGCTACATCTGTTTAAAGAAATATTACATCTTTAGATTTCATTCTCTTTCCTTCAGCGTGGAGCCCGAACCAGGATATGTCCAAAGATTTTACCACTATTTCTCCGCATCGGAATTCGAGAAAGCTTGTCCAACAACTGCCGATATTACACTGGTAATATTCTTATTTTTTGACACATTCATTCAATCTAATCGTATCCAATTTTCGAACATCAACTGTTTTTCTCAAGTTCAAAATCGTTTTCATGGTCAAAATGTAATGCATTTTTCATTATTTCAGCAAATTGGAAACGAGATCATGTGTACTCTCTTCTGTACTCTTGTAAGCCTACTGTTAAGGAACGCTCCAGCTATCGGGAAGTGTATCAGAAAGGGATACTCAACCGTAATGTCGATGATCCATGAATGGAGGACGCGTAAGTAATACTGTCTGATGATTTACGTCCTTCTTTTTGTTGTTTTAACTCAACATTTCGTTTTCTCCATCATAAAATATAATTATAAAGTACATTGTTTGTAATTAACAGTAAAGAAATCATTTGTACTTATATAGGTCCGTCACGTTGTCCTCACTGCGGAACTGTCCCATGTCAGGCTAAAAGAAGGTCCTTGTGGAAGCCCTCTGGATCTCGGAAGAGGGATAAAGCCAATTTCGCCGAGCGGGCAAAAGCAATGGAATTGTTCAACTATGGACTTGAATTATCCGTGGTGTTGACTAAGGAGCTTCCCAGAGATGACCTTTACTGGCAGAGGAAATTCTGTCACCAGTTTGAAGAGAAGCACATGGTGCTGTTTCCACTTTGTATCCAGCGCCAGATCAACTATTGGTACCCAGTTCCCCGCTAGGTAGGTACTCTGTTTCCGCTCATTCCCTCTTCCGACATCCTCATTATTTGATTTGGTTGTTCAAGATTGTCTATCGTCAGTACCGACGTCATTCATGGAACATCATAATGTCATCCGAATGTATTTAAGGCGAGACACGAACAGTCAATATTGACAGTAGTTGAATGACGTTCATATCTCCATAACTACAATTAAACCTGATAGTGTTTGTATACCGGTAAGATCTTGCAGCGAAAACGTACCTACAAATATAATCTATGATTGTGAACAAAGAAATACAACACGTGAAGTTCTAAAAACGTATATTTATTATGAAGAAGTCACAGTAAAGTCAACCGCCTTTCTTCGCGGAATTACATTTTTGAAATTGAAAATGACAAGATCATTTGGCTAGAATTGATTTCATTGTGTCGTCCGATCAATCTAAAATTAAGCTAGCACTCATGACAATGCAGAAAATGCCTTCAGTAAGATTGTATTCCACAAGGATTTGTTTCTGTTACAGATTCATTTCCTGTTCTCTGAGAAGAATGTTGAGGATAGTCGAATGATGGAAGAGGAACATATTGGATTGACGTCATCATTTTATGTTATAATCCGTGTTGTGTGCCTTGGATTTTATTTATTTCTTATTTTGTTATGGCCAGATACAATCGAAATATATTGATCATTGAGATCTCTTTTGTGTCAGAATATATATCAGTGTTTTTGTTTGTATTGTTTTATGTACTTAGTTTATGTACATTGGATGACCGTTCTATCCACGGTATGATGATATTTCAGAGATTTCGCCCCAATAAAAAAGATAATTCTTTCTATAATCAAAGTTGTTTTTTTATCGACTGTATTTACATTGAACAATGTTCGGTTCCGATTTCTATAACTTGTGCCTGTTGTATCGATACTTTTGAGCAATTTTATACTCGCAGTCTTCCAGGTTTTGTTAAAATTATTTTATTGTTCGACGTTATAGAATAATGCAAAGAGAAATTCCTGTTTGAACAAATTATTTAGTAAGTTATTTAAGTCAATAATCAGCCACATATGTAAAAACAATAACATCCCTCAGATATTACAGATGAATTCGAATGGTATTTGGTAACTAAATCAAGTAAGCTATACACATGATACTTCCAGAGAAGAGTCAGAAATTGAAATTGCAACAAAGCAATGTTGATTTCTTGGTAAAAGGCTCCATCGCTACTTCTCACTCCGTATACATTTAAATACATATGTATGATGGACATTGGAACACAATTGACGAATGAAGACAATTCCTGACTCATTCCATGTCCGGGACTCAAAGTCAAGATCTACGGCACCGCGTAGTAATCGAGGAATACCTGTCCTTTTTTTGCGTCAAATAATAGAGATGACTCTAGGGTTCATCATAAGAAGGAAGACGGTTATCAGAGGTGAAATAGTGACCACAGTAATGCGAGATATAGTCGTAGTTCAGTTTTTGGCAGAGTATACGGCCCCAAGTTCATTTGGTTCGATCAGGGTACCTAAGTTCCTGACATAGAACATAGTACTGCGCATCAAATCAAGGACCCGAATTACTGTTGTTTTTTGACACAAAAAATCAGTGATTGGTCAAGAGGTCTCCTATAGTTTCCGACAAAATGGAATGTTTAATCTGAAGCTGGCGAATCCCTGTGTGACATTTTCATGTGTGACCGTTTTCATTTGTGACTTTGGAAGTATAGAGCATACGCAAGCACCAAATAATGGCAGAATTTGATACATGGACTGAACATGATTGACTTTGATAGAACAAAGTAATTTGAGAAAGAGTATTTGTGAAAACATACACAAATCCTCACATCGAACAGGAAAAACGTATATAAAAAGGGAACATTTCGATTTGTTCAAAACATTGAAAACCAGTCTTAACTGCAATGGATCTAAGTTTGATCGATTGCATGGAACTATCAATGGAGTTGGCAAAAGAAAGATTTACACGAAGACTCCTGAGAATAAGGCTAGATGTTCCAGCATAGCAAGCGTCTTCTTTTTCACCGACGACATCCGCTATGTAGATCAATCCAAGTAAGTAATTTCATGTTCTCAAATGAGAACAATTTGTCAATAAAAATGTTCCTCCGAGCATTTTTATGCCAACTTAAACCATAGCGGTCCCTCAACTGAACTGACTAAATTTGTTTGAACTGAACTTGGTATCATAATTCACTTAGGAACAGACACAATACGGAAATATTGTTTATAGACGGACGGACGGACTGACTGACGAAAGGACGACAGGACGCTGTTCTGGTCCTTATATCAGTTAATTGACAAAATTCCCTTTCTCTAAAAGTGGAACAGATTTGTGCTGACGTAGTGTTGGGCCAAAGGTTGTATCGACATATTGCATTCAGTCTTAAAAAAGGTTAGAAATGTTACCTCAGTATTAACAGGAATAATGGTTATTGCTGAACCGTATGTATATTAATTCGGAGATCACAATAATATTCAGAGGTTCAAAGGATACATGTAACATTCGTAGCGTCAACTGTAATGTTTTTATTTGTTTTATCCAAGAGACAATAGCATGACATCACAGTTGGGCATGGAGAAGCCAGTTGTGACGTCATATTTTAGTTGCTAAGCTCTTTAGCAATCAGTGAAGGCGGAGATGATGAGTCTCTCCCCAGGATTTCGCTTTATGTTGTAAAATCTCGGCTTACCACAATGGATATCAGGTCATTCCTGCTATTTGTGGTAATGTTGAGCGTAATGCAACAGGGTCCGGCGATATACAGCGACCTTGTTTGGTAAGTTGTCTTTATAAAGTCGCTTCCATGAATGTTTTGATGGAATACACGTAAATGAAAACTCATACTTTTAAGAGCTTTCATGAAATAATGCTACATCTATTTAAAGAAATATTACATTTTTAGATTCCATTCTCTTTCCTTCAGCGTGGAGCCCGAACCAGGATATGTCCAAAGATTTTACCACTATTTCTCCGCATCGGAATTCGAGAAAGCTTGTCCAACAACTGCCGATATTACACTGGTAATATTCTTATTCTCTGACACACTCATTCAATCTATTCGCATCCAATTTTCGAACATCAACTGTTTTTCTCAAGTTCAAAATAGTTTTCACGGTCAAAATGTAATGCATTTTTCATTATTTCAGCAAATTGGAAACGAGATCATGTGTAGTCTCTTCTGTACTCTTGTAAGCCTACTGTTAAGGAACGCTCCAGCTATCGGGAAGTGTATCAAAAAGGGATACTCAACCGTGATGTCGATGATCCATGAATGGAGGACGTGTAAGTAATATTGTCTGATGATTTACGTCCCTCTTTCTGTTGTTTTAACTTAACATATCGTTTTCTCCATCATAAAATATAATTCTAAATTACATTGTTTGTAGTTAACAATAAAGAAATCCTTTGTACTTATATAGGTCCGTCACGTTGTCCTCACTGCGGAACTGTCCCATGTCAGGCTAAAAGAAGGTCCTTGTGGAAGCCCTCTGGATGTCGGAAGAGGGATAAAGCCAATTTCGCCGAGCGGGCAAAAGCAATGGAATTGTTCAACTATGGACTTGAATTATCCGTGGTGTTGACTAAGGAGCTTCCCAGAAATGACCTTTACTGGCAGAGGAAATTCTGTCACCAGTTTGAAGAGAAGCACATGGTGCTGTTTCCACTTTGTATCCAGCGCCAGATCAACTATTGGTACCCAGTTCCCCGATAGGTAGGCAGAGTACACTTTAGATGGAGGTAGTATAGATAGAAGTGAACATATGTCCTTCTTGTTTTCTCTTGCTGACCTCGACCTTCTTCACCTATAAAAATGTGCTTTGGTATTTGCTATGTATTGATAATATCGTAAGAGAAGGTGCCAATTGTCAGTACCGAAATAATATCTTAAGCATCATAACGTTATCTAAATGTTTGCATCATGTGGTTTCTCTCACTTTATTTGAGGCAGGACGAAAAGAGTGAAAACGACACTGATTCAAATACATTTATCCTGAGTGTTGCTATATATGGTGGCGATAGATAGAGATTACAAGGTCAGTGTCGTAAAATATCAGCTGTATTTTGGCGAGGGTGAAGAAGAATAAGAAGAAAAAAAAATAAAATTGGCGAGCCTCTTGTGAACCACTTTTGTCTTTCTGTTCCGAGCCAAAATACAACGTTTATTTCAAGACACCGACAATGCATTCTATTTATTCTGTAACTTTTATTGAATATCAGACAATCAAAACTTAAACAGTTTTGTTGTTCAGTCTTTGTTTACTTGTCCTTGACGTTACGCTGAATTTTGCCTGATGATGTACGGCAAAATAATTGCTCCAAGCAGAGTTGTACTTCCAAACTTCAACGGAAATGACAGCGATTTTAAGAATTTTCGTAAATAAACGTATTTATTACAACATATAAAATCACATTTACTTAGTTAATTCAGAGCGTAATTATGTCGAATTACCGTACGTGTTAACATACAGGTTTTATCGCCACTGCCGAATACAGTAAAATATAAATATATGTGGCAGGGGTATTTCTATAACGATTGCAGGATAAATATAGGTACATTGGTTTTGGAAATCTGAACATTTGTCAGTACTCATGGATAAAATGATTGAATACATCCAACTCACATTTTTTGTGAAGAAGAGACACTATAGAGTAAGTCTATTGTTGTTTAGCTTTGCTTGTACTGAAAATGACATTAGTCATTGACGTATTCACTGTTTAAAGTAGGCTAATACGTATTATAGGTAGTGTTGCTAATATTTCAGATTCCGTTCCTGTGCAACGAGAAAATTGTCGAAAATAGCCCAATGATCGAAAAGGATGGTTGGATCGACGTCATCAGTTGATGTGATGTTCCGTTCGGCGTGCCTTGGATGTTTTTATTTGTGTTTTTTATGCGGTCAGATGTAACCGGGACAATTTTAATCATTGATGTTCTAATCGTTTTTTCACCTTCATTTTGATCTACATTTGTCTGCTCTTTGTTGCTGAAAGTTTAAAAAAATCCTCCTACAATATTAAAAGTTTATTGTAGTCAGTGGTCAGTTTAAATCTTTCAGTGAACTCCCCTCTCTGTGGTCCTATGTAGTTTGTACACAATGGTCAGTTTAAATATTTCAGTGAACAACTCTCTGTGGTCCTATGTAGAATGTACACAGTGGTCAGTTAAAATCTTTCAGTGAACACCACACTAATAAATAAATATGGAACTGTCACACCAAGTTCTATACAGAGGAACGTTTTATCTTTAGTTGTCATTTTTAAAAGATTTTCTTTCCGATATTTAAAAGCATCAATAACGGTTACATGACAATGTTTATTGGTCAAAGTTGTAATTAGTTGTTACCAGATATCACTTTTTTACGGAGTTCGAATTAACTGTTTTCGATCTAGTGTTAATGAAGTATTGATGACCAATTACTGTTTTGGTAATTTAGAAGAATCATCACCTCATTGATGAATTGACGTCCCTTGTAAAAGCCATTCGTTTTTATTTGATAGTAAAAGAAACTCCTGTATCTTTTATGATCTTTTTTGACAACAGTCAGAAATATCCCAATCACCTTCTCTCTGAACTGTGAATGATATAGTATCATCAAGCTGTGTTTACAGTAGTACAGTTCAGAATATACACATTTATTTGATGTTGTTCTAAAATTACCTGTTAGTAAGAAAACTACGAAATATACTAAATTATGGGGCCTGTGCATCTCTTCGTCTAGATTTTGACTTTTCTTTCGATCACTTTTGATTTTTTATCAGTCGCCTCCCCGGCTTCCTAGCATCACTGACTTGTCACAGAAGGGAGAAACGGCTATATAATGCAGTTTAATTCATTGCTTGAATTTGCTGTATATAGCACTGAATTTCGCTTAATAAATGCTATTCACATGTGCGTTGTTTGTACAATTTTACGATCTAGCGGCTTTATACTTAGCTTTCTGGTCATACCTTGTATCTATCACTTCACTTCACTTCATCTTATATTCTACTGACGCAATGGTGTTATGTACACCAACGTTTTCTTTTTTAGTCTTATAAGAGATGAGTTTGTGTTTAGATCTGGAACAAAGTCTGCTTTTCGGTATCAAACATGCCTTTCTTATGTTTGTAGTAAATATAGATTCAAATTGCTGATAGTTTATCAATTATAAAATTAGAACTTTTAAACTTAGATATTTCTCAATGACGCATTAAAATTTTTAAATCGGAATCATAGGATTTTGAAGTTGCATACATCGTTTAAGTAAACTCTGAACACGTGACATGATCAGCTGTTCTCAGACTCCCTAATATCTATGGTAGCCTATTTAATTGCTAAATGGGACAAACTTCTTTATTGTCCTCGTGGATACTCATGTACAGCTATTGCCATGGTCCATTATAAAATAAATATTTTCCATGCAAATATGGAACATTCTTGTTGACAACTTAGCGTTCTGTATCGTCAAATATTTGTTGGAAAGTTTGCATGAATTGATAGAAAGAGCTTTTCCGTGAAATCAATGATGTTTTGTTAGCCACAGACACTATATCTATGTGCTATTGAAACATATATGAAATGTTTACATTGACGAGCACGCAATCAGTTGATGGAGTGACCTCGGAGAAAAAAAACAAATATAGTGAATCAATATTGTGGATTTGTAATGTCCCATTTTCATCACAGAAAGAAATGAGACAAAGAAACAGAATTTATCGTTTAATATAGACTATGAGCTAGTGATTACCTTACCAGCTCGCAATCTGTTTTCATCGACTTTTGCCAGGTAAATATTTATTCTACTCGAGTGTGCTTTAATGGCTCTCAACATCCAGTAAGGCGGTAACTGTTTCAACTATTTAAATTAGATTTGTTGCAAGTTCAGACTAGATAATTTGTCACATTTTGGAGGTGAATCGCCTCTTCGTTGAAATATAAACGAATACAGCCACCAGGTAAATAACAAGATCAACCAGGCACATTTAGTCGTAAAACGACAGTCTTTCAGAAGTTGCCAACTTAGGATTTCATTATCTTATATATTATCTTAGTTGTGCATTGACAAAATATTCGCTGTGAAGTTTACGACCGAAAAAAAAAAATAAATAAAAAAAAAAAAATAAATAAAAAAATCCCCATGTATCGAAAAAAGAAGAAATATTCTTTCAATTTCGAATCAGGTATTGAATTATTCAAAAGGGAACCTCAGGTATGTTAAACAAAACGATTGTTAAAATATGCGTTTGAGAATGGGGATGTCTTTCTTTGGTAATCTTCGGTTTCTCTTGTTAAAATGCATGCAAAAGAGCTAGAGCGACGGGCGTTTCAATCATCTACACAGCTACATTACAAGCATATCGATTCATCACACAGATATCAAGACAAACATCGAAATAGTAAGCTTCTTCTGCTTTACCAACGACACACCACCATGTAAGTATTGATCAATCAAAGTAAGTAATGTGATCTTCCCTAATGAGAACAAGTTGTAACACAATATTCCACGAGAGTCAATGATTTCAAAATCATAGAAAATATCACCATGGCAATGGAAGCCTAATTCAAACATAAATTTGATGAAACTTCTGTAAAATGTCAACAAAATAAAGTACAGTACAGAGATAATAAGACCAATGTTACGGATGGGTAAGCGTATTATGCTTCATCGACGGCGCCCGCCATGTGAATCTTTTTTACAATCTAAACTGGCAATGCCACTGGTCAAATTTAAGTTAAATCGCACGAGATAAAAGAACACATGAAAATAAAATCACTATGACGACTGTGAAAATCACACTCCTATATTCTTTATCAATCTGTATATCTCGAGCTCTTGAATATCGAATCAACAATGATATGTAGACATAATAGGTTGTGGCAACGGGTGGTTTACTCTACAGATAAGAAAATTCACAATAGAGAAAGCAAAAGCACCATGCTTACCTTACAGTTTGATGGAAAAATGTCCATTAGTTTCGCTGATAATAATAAAAGATCGAGATAAGTGGCTGACTTGAAGCATGATAATGCACCAACAAATTGGCTAAATTTCTAAATACCCTACTTTACAGGTGGTACCAGGAATCTGTTTCATGGGAAGTTGATGGTCAGTGTCACTGCGAATGGACCTCTTAGTTGTTTTACGTTATTAAACCGCAATTTTATGGAATTAAATACGAAGTAATTTCTAGACATTCAGCTTTTATCATTCATGAAGGTCTTCCAGAAACTAACAAAAATGGTATTATTTATGCGACTGAATTTTAAAGCAATGCTGTACAATATTTTCTGCAATGTTATATAATGTTTGTAGTGCTGGAAATAGATCCGGTAACACAATTCCACCAAACACAACACTCAGCATTGCGATCCCTCCGTAGCCTACATGTGCTGCTGAGGGGCGAGGATCGTTGGCACATGTCCTCTTCCTTATCGTCGACGATAAAGTTTCTTCATCGACTTTTGTTTGCTCCCTTAAAATGTCTAGTTTGACTTGCAGTTCATCGGATATATTTCCGAATATAGTGTAATGACATGGACACCAACACATTCCTATATTTGTTGTTTGGTGTTCTGTTGTTTTTTGTTCGAGAGAAGAAGTTGTTGAAGTAGTTATTGGTTCTTGAGTAGTCAATGTTGATTCCTGACTCATTGTTGTAGTGGTGATTACTGTTTCTTGAATCGTTGTTGTAGTCATGGATATTTCCGGAGTCGTTGTGGTTGAAATTGTTTTCAGAGTCGTTGTTGATATTATCATTGTTGGTTCCTGAGTCGTGGTTGTTGTGGTTGTCGGTTCCTGAGTCGTTGTTGTTGTGGTTGTCGGTTCCTGAGTCGTTGTTGTTGTGGTTGTTATTGGTTCCTGAGTCGTTGTTGTTGTGGTTGTCGGTTCCTGAGTCGTTGTTGTTGTGGTTGTCGGTTCCTGTGTCGTTGTTGTTGTGGTTGTCGGTTCCTGAGTCGTTGTTGTTGTGGTTGTCGGTTCCTGAGTCGTTGTTGTTGTGGTTGTCGGTTCCTGAGTCGTTGTTGTTGTGGTGGTTGGTTCCTGAGTCGTTGTTGTTGTGGTTTTCGGTTCCTGAGTCGTTGTTGTTGTGGTTGTTATTGGTTCCTGAGTCGTTGTTGTTGTGGTTGTTATTGGTTCCTGAGTCGTTGTTGTTGTGGTTGTCGGTTCCTGAGTCGTTGTTGTTGTGGTTGTTATTGGTTCCTGAGTCGTTGTTGTTGTGGTTGTCGGTTCTTGAGTCGTTGTTGTTGTGGTAGTTATTGGTTCCTGAGTCGTTGTTGTCGTGGTTGTCGGTTCCTGAGTCGTTGTTGTCGTGGTTGTCGGTTCCTGAGTCGTTGTTGTAGTGTTTGTTGGTTCCTGATTAGCCGTTGTAGTGTTTGCTGGTTCCTGATTAGCCATTGTATTGTTTGCTGGTTCTTGATTAGCCATTGTAGTGTTTGTTGGTTCCTGACTAGCCGTTGTAGTATTTGCTGGTTCCTGATTAGCCATTGTATTGTTTGCTGGTTCTTGATTAGCCATTGTAGTGTTTGTTGGTTCCTGACTAGCCGTTGTAGTATTTGCTGGTTCCTGATTAGCCATTGTATTGTTTGCTGGTTCTTGATTAGCCATTGTAGTGTTTGTTGGTTCCTGACTAGCCGTTGTAGTATTTGCTGGTTCCTGATTAGCCATTGTAGTGTTTGCGGGTTCCTGATTAGCCATTGTAGTGTTTGCGGGTTCCTGATTAGCCATTGTAGTGTTTGCGGGTTCCTGATTAGCCATTGTAGTGTTTGCTGGTTCCTGAGTCGTTGTATCTATAACAAGGAAAATGTCAACATGTGAAAATGTTTATGTTCACAGGCTACAGTAGGGAACAACAACATACTTCAAGTTAAGTACGAAATACATCAAGACGATTTGGCGTTAACATATAAAGTCGCTGTTCGTAGTTATGTCTGGTTCATTTATCATCATGATAAACGGAACCTGACCGATTTGTTTAAATACACGACACAATATTAACTGCAAAAACAGAGTTAGAATACAATTCACTAATTTTACGATATAAATGACAAGATTTTACATATTAATTTTGTATCTGCGAACGAAGTTAATATTCAAATATTTGAAATATTTAGAGGGCAAATAATTTTCAAAGAGGAATTCTCATGTCTTGTGCAAAAAGTCCTTCTGCAAACCGTACCTCAAGGAGAAAGCGACATTATATCAATGATCAGACTTTTAGAAACGTGAGACAAACCTGATAAAAATATTTGGGAACACAACGCCCATAAACTCCAGGTACACGGAACATCATGCCATCTCCCGCTGTTCACCTTATGTGCTACACAATTTTCGGGCGAATCTATGTTGTCCGGTTGCTTCTTATCCCAGTAAGTCCAGGTTTGATGTTCACCAGTGTGTCTCACAGTAACGTCTCCGTCATTATCATTGTATCCCAAAAACAAATAACTGGTCCTAATAAAGATAATAAGTTTATATTTTTTAGTAAGCTTTTCTCGCATGTCTATCAAAATAATAATTAACATCTAAATCCTTCACCAAATTTGTCAGATTATGTTAATTAAGACAAACTAAAGAATGGAAAGCATATCTTTTCCTTGTTAAGATCTGATTTTATGACCTATCATAAAAAGGAACTAAATATTTCTGAAACTTCCAGTACCGTTTTTTAATGGAATCCCCCGTTGTATGTTTGGAAGTCTACAGATGCATATTTAATTGTTTGTACAATACTTCATTGTTCTATTTTTTTATATTATTTCATTAACTTATTTGCATGAGTTTTTTGTTGTTGATTTCATCATTGATTATAGCTACCGATGTCCGCCTCATATACTTTCAGACGTTCAAGTATTCACGATGTAGTATTCTAACTCGGAATATTTCTCTTTTTAGAAATTCGAAAAAGTTTAATGTAGAAAATTTATCTTCAGTTAATAGTAACGTCCGAAATATTTCCCTGATTGACAATTTACAAATCGCTTTCTAGATTATAGGGTTTAACTAAAATGTAGTACTGCTATATGCGCAAATACTTACATTCATTAATTTGCAGATGATTAAACTATACATTAAGGACTTTTGGTGACTTTAAGCATCCATTTCTGCCATCATTTTTTGTTGGACTAAATAACTCAATGTTCAAACATAAAAAAATGGCATGCCAGGATACATACCTAATGTCAGCAGTCTTTAGAAACCTATAAAGCAAATCCGCTGCATCCCAATTGGGAACAACTGCCAGGTGACCTCCATCATCATCACATGCTTGTTCCCCAATTTGGACTATGTATGAGTTTTGCACGAACCAGTAGCATATATGGTAAACATTACTTGCGTATATGGTTCCATTCCTAGGGCACACTAAAAATAACGGACCACCAAAAAGTCAGTAGAATGAGATGTTGCAGCAGACATGATGTAAAGCAGTATTTTAGCTGTTCAGACTTTCTCGATTTTGCATATTTCTTCCTGAAACTGACTCATGGTTTTCTTTTAATTTTGTTTTCAAGGTATCGATATTTCGCTCTTTCAAACAATCATCAGATATCTCAAACAACAGAAGTTTTGAAATGTGTAGCCTTCAGAGCATATATTGAACATTATGAAGCTAAAGATCGGAAACAATTTAGTTGTTAAAACTGCAAATACGAAAAAGGCATTGTATGTCTAGAGAAAAGTAGAATATAATACTCGTTGTTACAACACCATTAAAACAACATGGACATTCAAACTCAATTCAACATAACAAGGGCAAAAATAAGTACCAAAGAAAGATTTACATGCAGACTCCTGGAAAAGTACAAGGCGAACAAGACTAGGCGTTCAAAAAGAGTAAGCGTTGTCCTCTTCATTGACGACACCAGCCATGTAAATCTTGGTCAATTCAAGTAAGTATAGTAAATGACAAAGGTATAAAAACAACGGATCAAATAGCCTTACTGAAGAGCATCAAACACGTCCAGAATAGAATATTCCTCAATGAGATAATTATCCTTATAACTTTATAAGCCTTAAAACTTCCTCGAAAGCATACACAACACTGTTACAACAGACACATTTAATAACATCAATTCAACAATGGATAATTCTAAAGTAGGGAACATTACATTATTTTAACTATAACATATAAAAACTGATAGACTTACGCCGTGAACATCACAATAAAATAAATACGTTTACAAGCACATCAATACAACAACAATTCCATATTCAAGTAAATATCTGTCAACATATCTCGGGACTAAACATTAATAATATAATTAACTGGTTGAACACTAATTTAATATATTGGTTTACGCATAGTTATATGGTGACGTCAAATTATCATATCAGAGAATATGAAATGTAAAAATAAGCATTTAAAAGTTTGATGTGTTTTGTTCAAAAACTATATTTACCAATTTCACCTATAGCGACTCTCTGTAGTAGACATGTTGCAAGTACACTAATGAAGAATAAAACGCTGCCCATCACAAGGATACTCGACATTAGTCTGATATCTATGAAACACATCGATGGCCATACCCATGAACACCTCGTTAGTAAAGTAAACAAAATGGATAAGTGTGTACAATACCTATGGCATGTAATGGCTCACTGACACTGTCATCATATCTTAAATGTATATATATAATATCATGTTTGCTATTACATTTACTATTATTGACATTTTCCAATTACCTGCAGTACTTAAATTTGCGAGTAGAAAACTTGTTTACTTTATCTTTGGATTCGTTTGAAATGTTAGTGAAACACGACATTTCATAGTTAAAAAGTTAAAAAGAACGTTGAGCACATTATGTAATACATAGATACCGTATATAGAAAATAACAATGAACCTCGTGATTGTAATCATGTGGACGAGATGTAAGTGTACTTGTGAAGTCTGTCTATGAAATATCAAACTCATTCAAAGTAAAAGAACAATTTTTATCTTTTCGTTATATCGTATCTTTAATTCAAATCAGGGCAATAAAACCAAAAATATTAAGCTACACGAATTGTTATAAAAGGATTTGGTAGTCTATATAAATGCTATATAAAATTCAATATCGCACATTAAAAGGAATACTTTCATTTCAAAATTGCCTCATAAACTGCTCATGTGGTGAGATGAAATGCGCTGTATATATTGTCATTTTTTTATGTTTAATATAGATCCAGTTAACTGTCGAATCCTTCAACGATTAGATTAACAATCGACCAATCACTGAGTAAACAATTTCTATTTTGATGAAAATAATACACAAATGCTTTCCCGGAAAAAAATCAATGTATAATGATATTGATTAAAATTGAAATATGAAAAACCTGTTATCAAGCAATAAATTGAAAGATGTCAAAATAGGTATTATCGAAGGAAAGAATAAAGAGAATGTAAACAAATAACATCCACTTACTATTGTCAATTGTATAAACAATATTAAACCTTCTGAATTGTTACCAAATGCTTTTATATATCATTACTAAATCATCTGTGTCAGTTATACTCATCAGATGTAATATCGACTTAATATAAGTAATAATTAAATTTTATGTGATATTTGAAATGAAATCAAGTTACTACCAGTATGCAAGGTTCATTCATTCTTGTTAAAGCATGCATGCAAAATAATGATTTTTTTCGGGAGAATCTTGTTTTCTTTTATTGATATAAAAAAACGAGACCAAAATAATATTATGCAATGTAAGTTGGTTTATTTTAATCCTAATGAAATCTACAACAAATGGTAGTAAATTATTTGATAAAGTAATGAAATGTTCCGTATCTAACTTTTTAACATTATAAGCACTCCCAACAGGTCTGCAAAGAGAAGTCCGCCAAATATGAGGGAAAGAAGCGCTATACCCAGGTACCCAACATAGGTAGAGGAGGGACGGGGGTCGCTAGCACTGGTCTTCTTCCTTATCGTCGACGATAGTGTCTCTTCATCCACCTTTGTTTCCTCCTTTAGATTATCTAGCATCGTCTGGAGTTCCTCTGTCATATTAACGACTGAGTGATATTGTATTGGAGAACTTTCATCACAAGGACAAAAGCATTCCATTAGGACAGATGAGGTTAAGCTTTCAATCGTTGTCTTAGATGATGTTGGTTCCTCAGTAATTTCATGGACGGTTGTTGTTGTGGTTGTCGGTTCCTGAGTCGTTGTTGTTGTGGTGGTCGGTTCCTGCGTAGTTGTTGTTGTGGTTGTCGGTTCCTGAGTAGTTGTTGTTGTGGTTGTTGGTTCCTGAGTCGTTGTCGTGGTCGTTGGTTCCCGAGTTGTTGTTGTTGTGGTTGTTGTTGGTGCTGGAGTTGTCGTGGTTGTTGTTGGTGCTGGAGTTGTCGTGGTTGTTGTTGGTGCTGGAGTTGTCGTGGTTGTTGATATCTGTGTTGTACCTAGGACAGCAACATTTTAGTTATTTTTTGAAAACCCATATTAAGTATTTTATTATATAAATCTAGCATTAAATAAAATCAGACAATAGATAAAGTCTCTAAGGTTGTAATACATTTTAAGATAATAAGAATGAAAACCTGATAACTATAGGTTCGATTACCAAAGCAAGTTGGTTTGATAATATCTGTTTCGTCTTCCATTATAACGCATGTTGGCCTGATCCAATATTTGTACTGGTAGTACATTGTTTTATATGTGCAAATATATGACAATTTCAATTCGTTTAGAAAACAGATTTGAAGGTTTTACATCTTGTTTGCAGGTTTCATCAGCAGCAAAGTGTATGTTCATACTAACAACTATTTAAATTACATTTGATCAAATTTTAAAAATTATATAATACATATATACCCGTCGAAAGAGGTGTAGAACAAATTGCCTTGATGTTATTTGAACAATGCATGTCATGCCACAATCCCGTCGCGCCATTAATTGCTATGCATTGTAAACTGCTTTGCAAAGGCTGGCCCATCAAGGTGTCCCATGGTATCCACGTTTGTAATAAAGAGGTTCCATCGATGGCAAGGAACGTTGTTGAAGCGTTGACGCGCCTATACCCCAAGTACGCATACCAACCGCTGAAAGATAGACAAACATGTTCAGTTTTACTATGTTATATCAAAGTTCGTTCAATCAGTGTAATTTGCCCCGCAAAGAGAATAGAATATGCACAGTGGACATGGGAGGTGTGAGGCACTCTTTGTCGATATATATCAATATTATTATTATTTATCACCTAGATAATTGTTCACCTTCCAGTATTCATAATATTTAATTTCACGGTTTGTGATATGATATAATGATGAAAGTGATATAAAACTTTAGTTAAGATATTCTAAGCAAGTGCTCACACAGGAATAGTACAATAAAGCAAACCTAAAATTTGGATCGATATCACAAATGTTACCATAGGCACGCACAGGATAGTAAATCTTTTCGGCACACTTTTAATTTCCAACTGACATAAATTTCGAAAAGTATATCCAACGAAACATAATCAATTTTGCAGTAACCCTCTTGCCCCCGCAAGCTTCTGGAACTACGTCTTGAAATCAGTTACGTACCTTACATTTGCATCATTAGCAAATAGTAACGTCATAACGATGTCGAGTGCAAACTGATCAGGGATAAAGGCCAGATCCCCGTTCTGGTCCATACATGCTGTTTTACTGTCCTCCGCGTTTCGTGATGCATATAAACTCAAGATCCAGTAACAGATGTCGCCGTACAACTCGTTATAGTACAGCAAGGCACCCACATTACATAGGGAATATCCTCCTAAAAGAAAACACAAAAGTGATTGAAAGTGAAGCAGTTACATAAAACATGAAAATACCAACATGGCAACATAATCATAATCCAAACTCAAATTCCATCAAAAAAACTATGGCAAAATATGAACAAAAGAAAGATTTACACAGACACTCCTGAAAATGTAAGTAGAATAAGACCAAATGTGACATATTTTTGCAATGTACAAGGTACAACATTATCTTATGATGAATATTTGTATAAACAGCTCTTAATTTGTAACGTTATCAAAATATATTAAAACTGGTATATTTTAGATATTAGCAGTCAGTTTTCTTACATACCTAACACACGTCGGATCTATAAGATTAAATATGTACTAAAACACTTACCGTTGGAATTTGTCATTAATAATATTAGAAGCAGAAAGTTCCGTGACATGACGAGTCTATGTTAAAATCAAACTAGATAATAAGAGCGAAATGTGATGCTAGCTGTTGAAGAGAAGTAGGGCTTTAAATCTATTACCAAGTATGATTACTTAGTTATTATGATGCTTTTACGTACTTGCATACTTAATAAAGTAAACATGTTACTATGAAATTCTATAAGCTTTGTTTTTATGTATGTATAAAGTTTGATGGATGTGATATTGATTCCATAGATGAGCTTAGGACGCTTCACGAGGTAGACCATTGTAAATTGAGAATTGTGCATTACGTCGAGACATTTATACTAACGAATTCTTTATAAAATTTAAGATATGATGATGATAAGGTAATATCATGATTTTGAATTTGTAATTATTAAATTAGTTTGGGTTAATAAATCGGGATGTGCGTATTAGTAATGTGGCTGTTAAAATGCGACATGAAGCTGTGTGTACTTGAAACCTCTAACAGAATCCATTAGACACAAAATCAATGTCCAGCTCGCAAATATCAGCTTCCGGTAATTACGTCACATGGGCGCTTTCATTTGATGTAAAGTGATATTAATTGATCGACTCGTCTCTGTAACTTATACAAGATAAATATATATATAGAATTACTTCTTCTTCGGAGAGATTCGTACAGTAACCAATTTATATAGAACAAAACAAGGTATTATGCGTTACTTCTCACGAGCAAAACGTAATAGTGATGCTGATCCGGATAATAGCAGCTATAATAAAGCTGTTGAAGATTTAGACAGTCAGTGTAAAGTATGATCTCTTCGTAAGCACATATCCCTGTCATCTAGATTATTCGTACCCCAGGACCATTAAACCATTTAAGTATAAAACGTTTTGACTCAACCAATCTCGTAAGTTTACAGCATCTGTACAAGAGACACATACACGTTGTCACGTGACATAAGATAAATATTTACTCGAAACCATTCAGGTGTGGGATCGCACAAAGTTAAGAGATGTAAAGATGTTTACAGGAAGTCGACTCGAGTTTTCGTTTAATTTTCAATCCGTAATATTAGCCGACCATTTTTACAAAAACCGCTGTTTACTTAAAACAATTTATTTGCTGTATCATGATATAACATAACTATTTACTAAATACCATATATTTGAGCCACAGGACATAAGATACATAATTGCTTAAGATTACATATTTGCAGACACATGACGAAAAATACCTTGTTTCTCAATAGCATGTATTTGGAGTCACATGACATAAGATACTTATTTACTCAAGACCATATATTTGCAGCCAAGTGACATGAGATAATTATTTATGCAATCACATGACATGAAACAGCAGCGTACATGTAAGAAAGAAGTATTGTTAAGATAGTAATACAGGTATCAAGCATCGACATTTTTTGTCCTGAGCTCTACAATTCTTGATAATTGCATAACAAATATATGCAAAGTCTTCTGGTAGACATATCTTCATCATTTGATTAAAGTTGTTAGCTTCTCATTAAATAGTCGCAAAAGGGGAATAAATGTGGATCCTTATCCACCAGTTCCTTCTAAACACATTGCTTCGTCGGAATGTCTGTCTTTAAAGAGAATGTTGGTCTATACAAGAATGATAAACATTATATATGCCGTGTTATCAACGGAGAGATACAACGCTATTTCGCTTGAAGTGAGGTGTAAATATGAAGTTGTCCTTTTGTCAATCAATTTTAATTAGTTACCTAACCGAATCGACCCAATGTGTTGTATAACTTTCAATTCCAGTATAACTAACAACCTGGCCCATGTTACTCATAGCTTAGTTATACTTAACCGGTGGTTCCCAAAAATCGAAGCTGTTACCACTGAAAAAAAATTTAAAAGAGAAATTAACACTTGAAAAATAACAATATAACCTGCCTAAACAAACTTACAAAGCTGAAATGTTAAAAATATGTTTCCAATTTTGTTTAGCTCATATTTTAAAATTTTCACTAATCGCTGTTAAACTCTAACTAAGCTTTAAGGAACATGGGGCAGGTTTAAATCATCGACATATGGATAGTTTACATAGTCTGGGACAGGTAAATATATTTCATCTACTTGAAATGTTTATTCATGTTTGTGTAGAACATTAATGCTACCACTTAATAAAATTCAGACTGACAACCATTTGGTACGAATATAATGTTTTAACAGCAAGGTGTTAAGTGATCATAACATCTGATGGTTTTTGGATTTAAATCTCTATAGGATATAAACATATATTTGATAAAACAAAGGGCGATCATGGTATTACTAGATACTAACAATGCTATATAATAGGAGCTTCTTAAAATTTTACAGCATATAACATAAGCTGCTTTGTCTAACAGATCTGGAAAATCATTCATGTGATTCTTCAAAAGGGAAATAAGATTTGTTTCAACAGAATTTTTTTGTGACGTTATCAAGCTTTTATCCCAAGGAGAAGTTTCTTAATTTCAGATCCAGTATAAAGCCGTCATGGAATTAAAAACGGTACTTCAGTTGTTGTATGGTCTACAGATTCTGAAAGTATCCATTTGCCACCATGAAGGTAAAATATATCATAACATTTATCCAACAAAATATGGAGTGCTAGTGTATGGTATCTAACCATTTTGAAAGTACATAAAGTTATATACTGTAATTACGTCTACTAAGTCTATCTAATGTAAACATTAATTCAAACTGACATACGATATAACATTCCTTCTATTGCCTAGATTCCTTTACAATGTCATTACGTGCATTCTATCTATTGTCTTGCTTCAGCAATTATACGTTAATATGTTTGTAATTGTATTTTAGACTGATTAGAAAAATAAAATACCAGCTTCTAAACAAATTGCAGACAATTATTCTGTGGAGGGATAAGAATCTCTAGAAATAGTTGACAGTCAATTTATTCTGGGACAAAGTAATGAAACAATCTGAGCGCAGATATTGCATACTGTGGCTTATGCCAGATCTGCAGGCCTATTAAGGGCCTTAGTGACTGGTAAGGAAGTAAAGGCGATTGCAGTTGAAATATGATTATGATACAAGCACATGATATTTACATATACACTATATACATATTTTAAATAACAGGGTCGTCAGGACAGATTAACGAGGAACGTACAACAGGGATAACACCAAGCGCATCTACCCAGAGTTACAGAGTTACCCATTGTCATTGTGATTGTGATGCCGGTATTATCCTCTACCCTGTGGTAAATATCACGAAAGAACTGCAAGAAAAACTTGACTTTCTGAAAAAAGAAACGAAAGTAAATGAAGAGAGCTTGTCATCGACGATAAGATCGAGAACCAGTGCTGGAGATCCACGCCCCTCCTCGACTTACATGGGATTAGCCGGTATATCGCTCCTGGCCATAATCTTTGGTGGTATTCTTCTGTGGGACATGCCAAAAATTCTCATAACATTTAAAATGTTTTTCCAGTGAGTGCAGTATATCACTTAGATGGAAAGTTTTAATGAGTTATGGTAGTGATTGAAATTCTACGTTTAAATAATAATTTCAGGAAGTGTTCAGGTCAAAATAATGTTTCATCTGTATAAGTTTACGCACTCTTCGCCTTTTACAGTTGTGTCATGCACAACGCACCAAAATACATCAAGCGCACAATGGGCATACAAAGTCCGTGCACTTGCACTGTATTGTATCTAGCGTACAATTGCTGGATAGGATCGCAGATTTTGTGCGGTTTGGTAAATATGGTTGGCCAGTATTATATGTTAAAAATCAAACGGAAAACTCGTGAAGTAATGACTAAATTCGGGATTATAAAATCGGTAGGTGATTATAAAAGTCATTTTGATTCGATATATATTTTTTAAAAACCACGGTATCCTGTGTTCAGTAGTTTTTTTTCTAGCTATAGTCTCACACTTCGGAGAATGGCGATATATGTGAGTCAGGCATTAAGATACACCTGTATACGGGTATCTACGTGGCAAGTGAGTACTGGCTTGGTCGCCCATGTAAAAACCAAACAACACTTAAAACTAACTTGAGTATATATTGTTTGTTTACATAAAGATAGAAGAATGAAAGTAACCCAGAATAAATGAAGTGAAATTTCCTTTCTGACATATGAGATTTCAGATGAGTCATTGCCGAGTCAAAGGGAAAAAAACAAAAACAAAATACCAAAACAAAGAGAAAAAACAACAACCTGCATTTAATTATTATATCATTTTGATTGTCTGATTAAGGCTGGTTATATATGGCACCGTGTCAAAAAGATATTTTTGCAAGCGTACCTATCCAGATATTTGACTTAATTATAAAATATATATATATAAAATATTATCATTCAAGAAATAAAAATAAAAAGTATAAATAAACAAAATTTGCGATGAACAGGTCGTGTAGAGTCCTTGCACTATTTTGTCTCTTAACAAACTGAAGTAACCAATACCATTAATAAGTAAAAGGGTACTTTTCAGCAAACTTATAACCTTTTGCATCTTTTTATGACCATGAATAATGATTTTTCACCCTATGCCCGATCTTCCGCAGAATCGAAAATATAGATTGATGGTAGATAGTATTCTTATTTCAGAATTTATCAAGACCAATGAGATTTTTCATATTATTAGTTTGTCTTGATTTCAACATCTATTGCCGCGAACAACACAATAATACCCAGATGGGTGGATACACTCAATTGGTATTTAGATGAGCTAATTAAAATTATGTGTATTTTATAAATTAAAATTAGAAGTCGTTTTCATTTTTGTTGATTTTTCGCTTTTTTGATTTAAGATCGCGACAATGAGTTCGGTCGATAAAGTGAATTGTTCGGTATTGTATGTATATCAAGGTTACAAGAACCAATAGCTGTAAAAAACAGTTAGTATCAGACCAAGTTTAATTATTTTACATGCGATAGCATTATAAAAGTCTGTGTGATTTCTAAGTGAAGCCCTAAATAGCTAGTCTTTATCGAAAACTGAATTTCGTACATCTGAAGCTTG